TGCTCTATAAACTGTGATTCCACAGCAGCAATATATCGAACATACTGCACAGAAGAAGCTGTCCAATAGTTCTTAAGTGATAGAGATACACATTAGAACATCTCCCATAGTTCTGTAGCGTTAGATTTACATTCTAGAAAATCCCCCATAGTTCTGTAGTGTTAGAGTTACACTCTAGAACAACTATCCTGGTTCTTTAGCGTTAAGAGTTACACTCTAGAACATCTCATATTGTTTTGTAGCGTTGGAGCTACATTCTAGAACATCACCCATAGTTCTTTAGGGTTACAGTTACACTATGCAACATCACCCACAGTTCTTTGATGTAAGAGTTACACTTTATATCTTCCACAGTTCTGTAATGTTAACAGTTACACGCTAAAAAATCTCCCATAGTTCTGTGGAGTTAGAGCTACACTCTAGAACATATTCCATAGTTCTGTGGTGTTAGAGTTACACTCTACAACATCTCCCATAGTTCTCTGGTGTAAGAGTTACTCTAGAACATCTCTCATAGTTCTGTTGAGTGAAAATTTCACTCTACAACATCTCATATAGTTATTTTGTGTTAGACATACACTCTACATCTCCTACAGTTATGTAGTGTTAGAGTTACACGCTAGAACATCTTCCATGGCTCTGTGGTTTTAGAGTCACTCTAGAAAATCTCCTATAGTTCTGTGGTGTTAAGAGTTACTACAGAACATTTCCCATAGTTCTGTGGTGTTAGAGTTGATCTAAAACATCTCCCATACTTCTGCGGTGTTAGAGTTACACTCTACAACATCTCCCATAGTTCTGTTATGTTAGACTTATACTCTACATCTCCTATAGTTATATAGTATTAGAGTTATACGCTAGAACATCTTCCATAGCTCTGTGGTGTTAGAGTTGCTCTAGAACATCTCCCATAGTTCTGTGGTGTTAAGAGTTGCCCTAGAACATCTATAGTTCTGTGGTGTTAAGAGTTACACTCTAGAACATTCTCATAGTTTTCTACTGGTCTTAGAGTTACTCTAGAATGTCTCCCATAGTTTTGTAGCGTTAGAGGTACTCTAATGTATGTGTATATATGAAATTGTAAGCATGCATGGGAATGTATTCATAGGATAAATCTTGAGGTGACTGGACCCTCTGTGTCAAATCAGAATTTGACTTGCAGAGCATAACAAACAATTCTGAAAGCCTTTTTAAACTCTGGACTCACTATTAAAACCAGTCAAACTGAAGTAATGTTCCAGCCAGCAAATGGAACAATTATTTATGAACCTGACATCACCATCAATGACCAAACAACAAGGACAGTGGACACAGTCACACACCTTGGTAGCTTACTCTCTAAATGTACAACAGTCGATCAGGAAGTTAATGCCAGGATCTAAAAAACTAGCAGTGTCTTTTACAGACTCTAATATCTCAAACAGAAGCCATAAAAGCCTGCAAACAAAGCTGAAAGTATATAGAATAATTAAATCCAGTGGCTCTTTACACATATGAGATGTTGCCATTTCATGGCTGTATCTGCTATCAAGACCTGGTTATCAGCAAAGAGTCATGTTTTCATTCTCGGCTTAACATCCTTGCAGATACCGTCGTCGTATGTGATAAACAGCAGCAGTATGTGTATGAGTTGAGCTGATTTAGGAACTGACATCACAACACTCGGGGCACTCCCATAAACTCTGTCCTCATCTTCAGCAGCCGGAGTTCCAATACCAATGGTGCCAGTAGCACTCTGATTTTATGTTCGTCTTGCTTTTCCTCTGAGCGTACAGTATCGGAGAGATCCCCTTATCACTGCTAGCTGCATCACTCTCACCAGTCTGTAATGATGGATTTGCTCCCATGAACTGCACATATGCTCCTACAAGGCCTTTACCACATGTTGAATTTTGATGCATTATAAGGCAGTAGTAGTACATGTAGGAGTGTGTCTATATGCATGAATGTGAGTATATGAGTGTGTGTGTAGATGTATGTATGCATGAATGTCTAGTATGAATGTATGAAGTGTGTGTGTATATGTATATATGTATGCATGAATGTCCCGTATGAATGTATGCAGTGTGTGTGTATGTATGTATGTATGCATGAATGTTCCGTATGAATGTATGCAGCGTGTGTGTGTATTTGTACACATGAGTGTGTGTGTATATGATAATAAGAGTGTATGAGTGTGTATAAATATCTCCGTGAGAAATGTATGAATACAGGTGATGTATGCATGCATGAGTGTGAACATATCTATATGAATGTATATTAAGTGTGTATATTAGTGTACTCATGGACAGAATGATAGATTCTGTGATCAACTCTTCGACACTAAGATAGACTGTGGGGTAAACTCTGGGTTAGTATGACAAATTGTAGGGTCAATTCTTGACAGTATGACAGATTGTGAGGCCAATGCTTGGATAGTATGACCAACTGGGGTCAACTCTTCAACACTATGATTGACTGTGGGTTAAATTTTGGATAGTATGAAATACTGTGGGTCAACTTTTATACAGTATGACAGGCTGTGGGGTCAACTCTTGGACAGTATGACAGGTTGTGAGGTCAATGCTTGGATAGTATGACAGACTAGGGTCATATCTTGGACATTGTGACAGATTGTAGGGTGAACTCTTGAACTCTAGTATGACAATGTGGTCAATTCTAGGATAGTATGATAGACTGTGAGGTCAACTCTTTGACTGTATAAAAAACTGTGAGGTCAACTCTTGGACAATATGATAAATCGTGGGTCAACTCTTATACACTGTGACAGATTGTAGGGTAAACTCATGAATAGTATGATAGACTGTGTGGTCAACTTTTGGACAGCATGACTGACTGTGCAATCAATTCTTGGATAGTATGATAGACTGTGAGGTCAATTCTTTGACTGTATAAAAGACTGTGGGGTCAACTCTTGGACAATATGATAAATCATGTAGTCAACTCTTGTATAGTTTGATAGAATGTGAGGTCAATTCTCAGATATGTGATGACAGACTGTAGAATCAACTCATGGATAGTATGCCACTTATGGTTTTTTTTTTTTTTTAAGTCAAAGGTTTTTTCCAGCACTCATTTAATAGACACTTAGTGGTGAGTAATGTGCCCTGGCAGCCTCGGCCCAGGTTAGGTGATTTAACTTACATCAACCATGACCAGACTGCAAGAACAAGATGTTAAGAGGGGTGTGGCCAGACAGGAGTGCTATGCAGGAAGCCAAAGAAGAATAAGAAATGAATATAGAACTAGTGTCGTGAACCGCTACACGCTGCTGGATTTACGAAGGAAGGGATCCTAGCACTTATGGACTGAATGGTTTAATGTGCAATGAGGATAACCTGTCGACTAACTAACTAACATCTTACTGGCTGACCCAGATGGGGTCAACTGGAGATGACCACTGAAGATGACAGCAGATATTCACATAACAGAGATGACCACTGGAGAGGTCAGTAGATATTCACTCAGCAGAGATGACCACTGGAGAGGTCAGCAGACATTCACACAACAGAGATGATGACTGGAGAGGTCAGGAGACTTTCACCCAACATGGACATGGAGATGACCACTGAAGATGGCAGCAGATATTCACAGTACAGGGATGACCACTGGAGAGGTCAGTAGACATTTACACAACAGAGATAACCGCTGAAAAGGTCCGGCAGACATTCACACAATAGAGATGACCACTGGAGACATTCACACAACAACAACTATGACTGGCTCCATGTTGAACTTTCTTTTATTCATTCTCCAATGACACAGATCCCTGCCCATGATCTATCTGCACTGCTGACATCATCAGAAGCACAAGGACTAAAAAAAAATGTCATCTGTGGGCAGGAATCACTGAGAGACAAATGTCAGTTCGTTATGTGGTCAAATATTGAATAAAAAGGCATAACTGTGCCAGCAAAAAAAAAAACCCATACCTCAGATGAGAATATTGTCAAAACCCCATACCTTAGATGTGAACATTGTTTTACCAAAAAAAAATGTACAAAGAAACTTAAAGATCAGTATCAATACGCCATGTGTACAAGCTTGACCAACTGTTTCAGCTGGCTGGTCTGTGGCTTGATGGAGAAGAGGCCAGTCAAAGAGTGGAGGAAAAGCCAGTCAATAACTGGCATCTGCTGGCAAGTGGCTAGATGGAGAAGGCCAGTCAACAACTGGTGTCTGCTGGCATGTGGCTAGGTAGAGGAGAAGCCAGTCAACAACTAGTGTCTGCTGGCATGTGGCTAAATGGAGGAAAGCCAGTCAACAACTGGTATCTGCTGGCCAGCATGTGGCTAGATGGAGAAGAGCCCTGTCAACAACTGGTGACTGCTGGCTGGTTTGTGGCTAGGTGGAGGATAAGCCAGTCAACAACTGGTGACTGCTGGCTGGTTTGTGGCTAGGTGGAGGATAAGCCAGCCAACAACTAGTGTCTGCTGGCTGGTTTGTGGCTAGATGAAGGACAAGCTAGTCAATAGCTGGTGTCTGCTGGCATGTGGCTAGATGGACAAGCCGGTCAACAACTGGTGTCTGCTGGCATGTGGCTAGACGGAAAATAAGACAGTCAGCTGTGACTGCTGGCATGTAGCTTGATGGAGGAAAGGCCAGTCAACAACTGGTTTCTGCTGGCATGTGGCTAGATGGAGAACAAGCCAGTCATCAACTGGTGTCTGTAGCATGTGGCTAGATGGGGGACAAGCCGGTCAACAACTGGTGTCTGCTGGCATGTGGCTAGATGGAGAACAAGCCAGTCAACAACTGGTGTCTGCTGAAATGTGGTTGGATGGAGGACAAGCTGATCAAGAACTGGTGTCTGCTGAAATGTGGTTAGATGGAGGACAAGCTGATCAATAACTGGTGTCTGCTGGCATGTGGCTAGATGGAGGAGAGGCCAGCCAACAACTAGTGTCTGCTGGCTGGCATGTGGCGAGACGCAGGACAAGGCAGTCAAATAAGAGCAAGAAAACAAAAGCATCAACAATCCACCAGTGGAGAATAACACCTCACTTGACAATGGCTGATATCCAAGGAATTAAAGTTAGTTTAGAAATTTTGTAACATCCATAAGTGAGCAGGCCTAATGCACTCAATCGGAATCCCCATTTGGCCAGGATGGAGAGAGCAGACGGTGTCGGCAACCTGGCAGATGAGAAAAGATGTCATCAAGCAATAAACTCCTGTGCAACACAGTCTAAAACAAATACAAAAATCTGAGTCATAGGACACTTAGAAATCATCTCATTTGCTCTATACATAAAACCATTCAGACTATATGAATGTTTTCCTTCCTCAGTAAATCCCCCAGCTGATGACATCAGTTCTATGTTGGCCGACTAATGTTCTTTGGCCGCATGCACAGTGCTATTGATACTGGTGCGCAACACCCCACCAACATGGGGACGAATCTCTTCTCGACCTTTAGTATGTGTAACAAAATAACAAAACATCATTGCTTTAGGTTGAAAATTTGGTATAAGTACACACAGTGATGTGTTAATGCTGAAGGACAGTGTAGGTGTACACTCATGTCAGGGTGGATGTTTGGTATTTCGGGTTTACCACACAGTTTTTTTTTTTTTTATATCCAGAAGCCATGAATTGTTAACCCTTAGGCTCAGTATTATGGATATCGCAACCTTTCGGCCTTGATTCCATTGTAAATACCGTAAATCTGGGAGAAAATGTGGCTTTCCTGCCTACCCCCGGGACTGAACCCGGACCACAAGGGGTTCGTCACCCGCTCTCCGCGCAATCCGGTTTAGCCAACTACGCTAGAGAGCCGGGCTACCACACAGTAAGCAACACTGCAGTATGGGGCTGGCAAAGGATGATATATCTCGCTAGAACCAAAAACCCAGGTTACGATGAAGTGAATCGGATCATTTTGTTTTATCTGTCTCAGGGCCAAAGTTACAGAACAGGGATCAGCTGGCCTCAGAGATGTGGCACTGCCGTACTCGGACAAGATGTCTTATATTGCCTGTTCCAACAACTGGAAGCAGTTCATAGACAGCATGACCCTTGACATTCACTGGTATATGTCCGGCTACACAGATAATGGGGAAAGTTCAGCTGGTCATCTTTGCTCAATCTACATCAGCAAAAGTGGTAATGTCGCTCTGATAGAAAATGCAGCACAAGATACCAGAGATAGAGAAGTAGCCAGAGGTGTTACTGAAGATAGTGCAGTGGAGACTTCTGGTCTAAATTGGAGGATTGGGCATGGCAGAATGTTTAGCTTCGAAGTTTTGCTAATGCAGTTTCCACATACAGACGATAGTCTACGGTTTTGCTACCTGAGCTACTGAGTTAAGTGCTTGGTGCAGCCCTGTAAGCTTTTTTTCATGTAGAATGCCTTCAATTTGTGCAGCGGTTGTGTCGTAGTATTCAATACAGCCGGTAGCCGGTTTATGTGTCAGCTGGTGAAATACCTTCCATAAATGACAAACTGTATTTCTGGTGGCGACTGTTGGTTTTGACGTCTCCAGCAACTGCAGTGAAGCTGAAACCTCAACTAAGACTAAGCCTTAGACAGTTCTGTTATCTGACTTGCTGCTCTTGCAGTCTGGTCAAGGTTGCAGATTCAGTCATCGCCTGGTTCCCTCAATGGCATGACCTCTCTTGGGTGTTCAGTATATTAGCCTGATCTACAACTCACCCATTTTCACAGCAGCACTGCCAGAAATTTTATCAGGAAGGGAAAATGGAAATGATTGCTGTCAGCCATGACCTGTGCAGAGACTGCAGCAAGTGTCTTTAAGCACAGCTTATGCGCATCTTCCTGAGCCTCTACCAGAACATCTACCTGAGCATGCTCACTGAGAAAGCATGTCTGGGTCAAGGACCAGTGGCTCAAGCTCAGATGCTGCCATGCTCAACAAGGCTAGGGCTAATTGAATCCACATTAAAACATCCATCTTGCTCCTCGATTCTTCCTCCAGTCTGAGCCATACAAGTCTCTCAGCTCCTCACAGAAATACAACTTTCCCGTGTGGGTTCCAGGGCCCCATTATGGGCAAAACATGAATAGACCCACTGTATCCCCAAAATGTGTGTCCTAGGAGTAGACTGGGGGGGGGGGGGGGAAGAGAAGGTGTCCTTCAAAGTAGTACATCTGCCAGAGGGGCAAAGAACAGCTTACTGCGCGCACACACACACACACACACACAAAAGCCAGTAAAACAGATGTAAACACAAAATTCAGGCCCTGGCATAAAGCCAGAGTCCAAATGGATGAACAACCAGGACTTTCCGCTGGCACTTACAGCCGGTGAACAGAGGAAAAGAAACATAACTGAGTGAATGATTTGGAAATACTGGTTTACAGAAAAGAGGCACTTAATATCAGAGAATATGATAGGGAAATCATACGGGAAGGGGGGGATTGTATGAATATAGCGAAATCATACAGGAGAAAATATGGGTATTTACAGGATAAAATATGGGAACATCATACAAGGGGAAATATGGGAACATCACACAGGAGAAAATAAGGAGACATCATACAGGAGAAAATATGATAGGGAAATAATACAGGAGAAAATATGATAGGGAAATCATACAGAAAAAAAATCTGGGGCCATCGTAGGAGAAAATATGGGCACATCATACAGGAGAAAATATGGGGATATCGTACAGGAGAAAATATGGGCACATCATACAGAAGAAAATATGGGCACATCATACAGAAGAAAAAATTAACACATCATACAAGAGATAAAAGGGGCACATCATACAGGAGATAAAATGGACACATCATACAGGAGATAAAAGGGGCACATCATTTTGGAGATAAAATGGACACATCATACAGGAGATAAAATGGGGACCTCATACAGGAGATAAAATGGACACATCATACAGGAGATAAAATGGTCACATCATACAGGAGATAAAAGGGGCACATCATACAGGAGATAAAATGGACACATCATACAAGAGATAAAAGGGGCACATCATACAAGAGATAAAATGGACACATCATACAGGAGATAAAATGGACACATCATACAAGAGATAAAATGGGGACCTCATACAGGAGATAAAATGGACACTTCATACAGGAGATAAAATGGGGACCTCATACAGGAGATAAAATGGACACATCATACAGGAGATAAAATGGGGACCTCATACAGGAGATAAAATGGACACATCATACAGGAGATAAAAGGGGCACATCATACAGGAGATAAAATGGACACATCATACAGGAGATAAAAGGGGCACATCATACAGGAGATAAAATGGACACATCATACAGGAGATAAAATGGACACATCATACAGGAGATAAAATGGACACATCATACAAGAGATAAAATGGGGACATTATACAGGAGATAAAATGGGGACATCATACAGGATAAAATATGGGAACATCATACAGGAGAAAATATGCGTCATCATATAGGAGAAAATATGGGGTCAGTACAATGATCCTCTCTGGGTGGAGTGAGCTCTTTTTCCTCTAATACTCTTCCCTGTGTGGGCTCAGGACCACATCAATTACCAGGGAAGTCCCTGTGTCCAGCACACATAGAGCTGTACACACTAAGTAGGCCACTGATGGCTGTAAACATGTTACCAATGTTTAATTTGGTATTTCAGAACATGTAGTCTCTGTCGGCAGCTACAGCTTGCTGTTTAGGCATTGGTGAATCATTTGTGATATATGCTAATCACTCTTTATCAGTCATTTCACTACCTACAAATCTAACATGTCATTCACTCCCATGAATTCCTTTTGTACTCATCACTGGATACACTGAATATTTTCTCCAACGTTTTCTTCCAACCTGCTGACACTGCAGCTGTTGTAGTTTCCCTGCCCGGGTCAGCCAGAAAGCTCATTTACTCAAAGGCATTCAGTCAGTTACTCTAACCACACCAAAACTCTGCATTCAGTCAGTTACTCTAACCACACCAAAACTCTGCATTCAGTCAGTTACTCTAACCACACCAAAACTCTGCATTCAGTCAGTTACTCTAACCACACCAAAACTCTGCATTCAGTCAGTTACTCTAACCACACCAAAACTCTGCATTCAGTCATCTAACACTCAATGACCAGCTTTCTCACAGTTTTAGCTAGTTCTTTTCTATACACCTAGGCTGTTTAACTAATTGACTGATTAAGAGTGATTAGCAAATGATTCATCAATGCCTAAACAACAGTAGCTGCCAACAGAGACTACATGTTCTGAAATACCAAATTAAACATTGGTAACATGTTTACAGCCATCAGTGGCCTACTTAGTGTGTACAGCTCTATGTGTGCTGGATACTGGGACTTCCCTGGTGAATGATGTGGTCTTGAGCCCACAAAGGGTGAAGTGTTACTCAGGGGCCAAAATGTTGATAATGGGTATCGTCATGGGCCAGAGGTCCAAGCTCCAGCATAGAAAGATCCTTAACACAGTACAATTGGCAATGTTCCACATGCCACTTATTAGGCCTCCGCAGGCCAGATTTAGCTCGCGGGCCGCAAGTTGAATAGCCCTTCTATACAAAAAGTTTACCTAATCTCACGCAGACAAAGACTCATCTATTCTGGAGAAAACCGATTATCCACTGTGGACACAATCTCATGTCATCTTTGCCCAACCTATCACTGGCCACTTGTTCTTTAATCTGGCCAAATTCCATGATGTAGGTTAATGGGGTGTTTCCCCATGATGCTGCAGAATTCTCTAATCAGTATCATTAGACACAAATACGGGAGAAGTTACGGGAACATTATACAGCAGAAAATACGGGAACATCATACAGCAGAAAATATGTGAACATTATACAGCAGAAAATACAGAAACATCATACAGAAGATAGCGGCTGCATGAAATCAGAATTGGAGAGGGTGAAAAAAGAAACAGGGTATACCAGCAGCTTCACAGCGGACATAGAAACACAAGTGAAGATATTACTAATGGACTAATGAAACAGGACAAATAAATCTAGAGTGTGGAGCACAGAAGAACAAGATCATACCTATACAATGCAGAAGAACAAGAGCATACTTATACAATACAGAACAACGATAACATACCTATACAATACAGAAGAGCAAACACACAATCGCATGCATGAAATATATCTACAATCACAAGAGAGTAAACCATGGAGAAGAGAAAATATAATCACAGCTGAGTATGGAACATACAAGAGTAAGAGCAGGGAACAAACAAGAATACAGAACATACAAGAGCAAGAACATGGAACATACAAGAGCTAAAGCACAGAACAAACAAGAACATGAAACATACAAGAGCAAGAGCATGGAACAAACAAGAACATAGAACATACAAGAGCAAGAGCACAGAACAAACAAGAACATGGAATCTGCAAGAACATACAAGAGCAAGAGCATGGAACAAACAAGAGCAGGGAACAAACAAGAGCAGGGAACAAACAAGAGCAGGGAACAAACAAGAGCATGGAACAAACAAGACCAGGGAACAAAAAAGAGCAGGGAACAAACAAGAGCAGGGAACAAACAAGAGCAGGGAACATTCAAGAGCAAGAGCACAGAACAAACAAGAGCAGGGAACATTCAAGAGTAAGAGCAGGGAACAAACAACAGCAGGGAACAAACAAGAACATGGATTATACAAGAGCAAAAGCATGGAACAAACAAGTACATGAAACCTACTTGCAGATATCTTCAATATCCAAATCTTTATCCCAGTTATCCTTAATGCCTTGAACATGTCCGATACCAACAACACCGACCACAATAGCTGGGACCTGACCTGCAAATCATCACAATCCGGTTACAGACATTCACATGATTGATACAATCAAGTATTCACAACACTTGTCACACACACACATTAGCATGACTCACACAATCATGTATTCATAGCACTTGTCACACACACACACATTAGCATGACTGATTGCAATCATATATTCACAACACTTGCCACAATGTCTCACACACACACATCAGCTTGACTGATTGCAATCATGTATTCACAACACATGCCACAATGTCTCACATTCACATTAGCATGACTGATACAATCATGTATTCACAATACGTGCCACATTGGTTCACACACACATTAGAATGACTGATTGCAATCATGTATTCACAACACTTGCCACAATGTCACACACATCCACAACACTGATTACAATCATGTCATAAACAGGCTCAACAAAATCATATAAATTTACAACACTTGTCACAATCATGTCATACAGTCAAAACACTGGTCACAATCATATCATAAAGTCACAACACAGTCTAAACAATGATCATAATCATGTCATACAGCCACAATGTTTGTCACAACAATGTCACATTCATTCACAACACTAGTCGCAACTATGTCATACAGTCTCAACACTTGTTACAATCATGGCATACACAATCACAACACTTATCACAACTATGTCAACAAAGTCACAACATGTCAGGTACAGCCCTAGCACTAATCACAATCATGTGAAATAGCTTCATAATACTGGTCACAACTATTTGGCACAACTTCCCAACACTGGTCACAACTGTGAAGTTTTAACTAACAGTTAACAGTAAACAGTGTGACAGATATGACAGTAAACAGCCTATAGACACGTCTAGCGGTCCAATCTGTTTATAAGTGCATGCAAGCAATGAATCTGACTGACACAGTCCCAGTTTCTACAGCAATACTCCCTGTGTCAACAACATAATTATGATGAATGATGTAGACAAGATTCTCTGTAAAGTATATAATTAAAAATATGTGGACTGGACTTTGTGAACCACATAATTATGAAGATGATGTAGACCAGACACTCTGTGAACCACATAATTATGAAAATGAACTAGACTAGGCTCTCTCTGAATCACATAATTACAAAGGTGATGCAGATTATACTCTTGTGTGAACCAATAATAATGGTGGTGTAGACTAGACTAGACTATGAACCACATAATTATAAGATGTTAAGATGATGTAGACTAGACTTTTTGTCAACCATATAATTATGAAGATGATGTAGACTAGACTCTCTTACCATTTGGGGCGTCAGGGCAGGGTATTGGCTGAGCAACTTTACGCAAGGAATGTGTCAAGTAAATATCTCTCTCCTTGACAAAGACACGGCCAAGGGCGGGAAACTCTCCTGTCATCTCCTCAATCATCTGTTCTAGCATGTCTTTCTGCTTACACTTCTCTACATCCTCTTTCCTTCAGTCAATAAGAGAAAGCAACTTGATCAAAACAATTGTTAACATAATGACACAAATGACTATGTTATCATGAATGCTATCAACTTGTGGATTCGCATGACTATGTCTTCAACATACAATATTATATGGAAGCATTATTTACATATAGTATACAATAAATGGGTTAGTGAAGCATGGAAGCTGGAGTTTATGAAGCATGGAAGCTGGAGTTTATGAAGCATGAAAGCTAGAGTTAATGAAGCAAAGAAACTAGAGTTGATTAGGCATGGAAGCTAGAGTTGATGATGCATGTTACCAATGCTGATAAAGCATGGAAGCTAGAGTTGATGAAGCTAGAGCTGATGAAGCATGGAAGCTAGAGTTGATGAAGCTAGAGCTGATGAAGCATGGAAGCTAGAGTTGATGAAGCTAGAGCTGATGATGCATGGAAGCTAGAGTTGATGAAGCTAGAGCTGATGAAGCATGGAAGCTAGAGTTGATGAAGCGTCAAGCTAGAGTTGATGAAGCATGGAAGCTAGAGTTGATGAAGCTAGAGCTGATGAAGCATGGAAGCTAGAGTTGATGAAGCATGGAAGCTAGAGTTGATAAAGCATGGAAGGTAGAGCTGATTAAGCATGGAAGCTAGAGTTGATGAAGCATGTAAGCTAGAGTTGATGAAGCATTGAAGCTAGAGTTGATGAAGCATGGAAGCTAGAGATGATGAAGCATGGAAGCTAGAGTTGATAAAGCATGAAAGCTAGAGTTGATGAAGCATGGAAGCTAGAGTTGATAAAGCATGGAAGCTAGAGCTGATGAAGCACGGAAGCTAGAGTTGATGAAGCATTGAAGCTAGAGTTGATGAAGCATGGAAGCTAGAGCTGATAAAGCATGGAAGCTAGAGTTGATGAAGCATGGAAGCTAGAGTTGATAAAGCATGGAAGCTAGAGCTGATGAAGCACGGAAGCTAGAGTTGATGAAGCATTGAAGCTAGAGCTGATGAAGCATGGAAGCTAGAGTTGATGAAGCAGGGAAGCTAGAGTTGATGAAGCATGGAAGCTAAAGTTGATGAAGCATGGAAGCTAGAGCTGATGAAGCATGGAAGCTAGAGTTGATGAAACATAGAAGCTAGAGTTGATGAAGCATGGAAGCTAGAGTTGATGAAGCATGTAAGCTAGAGTTGATGAAGCATGGAAGCTAGAGCTGATGAAGCATGGAAGCTAGAGTTGATGAAGCATGGAAGCTAGAGCTGATGCAGCATGGAAGCTAGAGTTGATGCAGCATGGAAGCTAGAGTTGATGCAGCATGGAAGCTAGAGTTGATGAAGCATGGAAGCTAGAGCTGATGAAGCATGGAAGCTAGAGTTGATGAAGCATGGAAGCTAGAGTTGATGAAGCATGGAAGCTAAAGTTGATGAAGCATGGAAGCTAGAGCTGATGAAGCATGGAAGCTAGAGTTGATGAAACATGGAAGCTAGAGTTGATGAAACATGGAAGCTAGAGCTGATAAAGCATATAAGCTAGAGCTGATGCAGCATGGAAGCTAGAGTTGATGAAGCATGGAAGCTAGAGTTGATGAAGCATGGAAGCTAGAGTTGATGAAGCATGGAAGCTGGAGTTGATGAAACATGGAAGCTGGAGTTGATAAAGCTAGAGCTGATGAAGCATGGAAGCTAGAGTTGATGAAGCATGGAAGCTAGAGTTGATGAAGCATGGAAGCTGGAGTTGATGAAACATGGAAGCTAGAGTTGATAAAGCTAGAGCTGATGAAGCATGTAAGCTAGAGTTGAAGAAGCATGTAAGCTAGAGCTGATGAAACATGGAAGCTGGAGCTGATGAAGCATATCAGTGTTTGCAGGACCAGCTGGGCATGCTATGTTTGTGCATTTTAGAGTGGACATAACACAGTATCCATGTATATCAGATAGCAGCAAACACAAAATGTCACCTAGAGGTATTTATGTATAACTTACGTAATTGGTTCCTTGGAGAACAGTATGGCATATGCTAACTTTACTCTCTGCCACAAGCTTAACGATGCTAGTGCCCGTCGTAAGGTGATCTGGATAGGCCTGTCCCCAAGTATAAATCTACAGCCTCCCTTTAGCTTACGAGCCTGCACATAGTTCAAAACATGGTAAAATTACAATCTATACAGAACATGTCAGCGTCTGTGGCTTAGGCATTATAAACGCATTTTGTACTGCCAGGGTGCTGGCTTCGATCCCAGCTGTGGGTCTTGCGCTGGTTTCGACAGTGGTATCGATAAACCGACCCCCAGAAAGCAATGGCAAACTACTGGACACAAATTTGCCTAGAATAACCACAAAAGCCAAAAAATGCTGGGGTTGGTTCTGCAATGTCCTGTAAAGGGTACGCAAATACGTGTCTTTTTTTTTGCCCTCTACATAACATAACCCTTGACCCATTAAGGTCGTGGAGGTGTATTGATGGAAGAACTAGAACCTAAAATCCGCCATCTTTCTCTGTCTTCGGCTTGATGATAATTTATTTCTGTCCATTTCTTGATGTTGTCATTACAGATTCTTTTTAGCCCTCCTCTTCTCTGACTACCCCCCAATGTTCCTTAAAGTACAGTCTCTGCAATCAAATCATGTCTCACAACGTGCCCAAACCAAGCTAGCTTGCGACGTTTCACTACTGTCAAGACAGGCTCCTGATGTCCTGCAAATTTGTATATTTTGTCTCTGACATATTTATTAGTTTTGCTCCCCCAGTGAAGCATAGGCCCTTAACCAACTCAAGCATAGTCATTCCTATCCTTTGCTATCGCATGCAACTTTCCCCATGTCCTTTCCATCTTTTTTACATCACTCTCTAGCTCACTTCCCCAAATGTTTTTTGTTCTTCCTTTATTTCTATACCTCTGTGGGTTCCAGTACATGGGGGGAAGGAAGAATTTCAATGTATGAATAAATTCTTCAATGACATACATTTCATTAGTGAATAATAATATGGAATCTGCAGAGATGTTTTAATCCACTGACTGCCAGTTGTACATCATGCAATCGACGGATGGTTGTGCTTTGCCACTTCAATCGCAATTCCTGCAATTCTCACTCACTATCACTGTAAAATTGTGAGTTGTGCTTGTCAGAGACTGCAGATTATGAAGATATTGAGTTAAAGAATGCAGATTATGAAGATACTGAGTCAGAGGAACATCAACAAAAGAAATGACTGATAGTATGCATGCTATATGGCTGTAGACATTAAATAGGTGTCAATAACATGAACAGTAACATCTCTATGGTAACATCAACAGTAACATCTTTATGGTAACATCTCTCTAGTAACATCAAACAGTAACATCTCAATGATAACATCTCCATGACAATAAGGTGACCTATAGTGTGAATGGGATGCCAGGCCAGAACTCACCTCATTGAAGGCGACACGGAACTCCCCACCAGGAGCCATCCCCAGTTCTTTGGTAATATATGCAGACATGTTCAGCAGTAGGATGTTGAGGATACCTTGCATGAATCCGTTCTGGGGAGTGAGTGTAGACTGTGTGGGTTAGTGAGGGTAGACTGTGTGGGTGAGTGAGAGCAGACTGTGGGTGAGTGACAGCAGACTGTGACTGAGTGAGAGCAGACTGTGTGGGTGAGTGAGAGCAGACTGTGGGCTAGTGAGTGAGAGCAGACTGTGGGTTAGTGAGTGAGAGCAGACTGTGTGGATGAGTAAGAGCAGGCTGTGGGTGAGAGCACACTGTGTGGGTTAAGTGAGCCAGAGCAGTGTGTAGGTGAGTGAGAGCAGACTGTGTGGGTGAGTGAGAGCAGACTGTGGGTGAGTGAGTGAGAGCAGACTGTGTGGGTGAGTGAGTGTAGACTGTGTGGCTGCTGAGTGAGAGCTGACTGTATGGGTGAGGGAGTGAGAGCAGACTGTATGGGTGAGTGAGAGCAGAATGTATGGGTTAGTGAGTGAGAGCAGACTGTGAGTGAGAGAGCAAACTGTGAGTGAGTGAGAGCAGGCTGTGTGAGTGAGTGAGAGCAGATTGTATGGGTGAGTGAGAGCTGACTGTATGAGTCAGTGAGAGCAGATTGTCTGAGCGAGTGAGAGCAGACTGTGTGGGTTGGTGAGAGCAGACTGTGTGGGTGGACCAGACTGTGGGTGAGTGACAGCAGATTGTGTGGATGAGACCATACTGCATGGGTGAGATCAGACGACGTGAGACCAGATTATGTGAGTATCCAATCTGTGAGTGAGACAATACAGAGTGAAAACTGATACAACTTCTGTGAGACAATATTAAAACAATTGAAGCTGAATGTTGAAAAGAGAATCAACATCACAGCACTCAGGACACTCCCATAAGTGATCCATCCCCATTCTCATCAGCAAGTGAAGAGTTTCAATTCTGATGGCAGCAGTAAGTATATCCATCGGTCGGATTCCCTGGTAACTCCTCGCAGAGACATTCTCCTCAGACCATAATGATCTACCTGCGCTGTTCACCTGTTCCCAAAGGGCCCTCACAATATCTAGCTTGTCATACATCAATTCACCACCAAGTGGTGCAGAGCCGGTCAGTCTATCTGCCTGCATTTCCCAAAACACCGGCATAACCTGGAGAAAATATTCAAAGGATGATAACTAAAAGAGGACCTCTGAAGTGATGTTTGCCACTCTGCACGAAGCATTCTCAAACTTGACATGTGATATCATATGCAAGGCTTTGCTGCACTAAGCGACGTCGATTCACCTTTGCTATGAACCACCATGCACTTCGACTGCCTCTTAACACAGAGCCATCTGTATAGATAATCACATCACTCGGGCAGAAATTGTCGTGAATCATTTGTTGAATTTCTGATTCTGCAGCACAAGCTGGCCAGTCCCTGCACTTACGACCCAAAGTGATCAGAACCCTACATAAGTCTGAAACTTGTTTGGACACCCTGACTCATTCTTCACCTCGCACAAATTTATCAAGCCTGCACATATGACCAATTGTGTCTTTAGCTTGCGCCATCCAAGACCTTCCTCTTTTCAGTCTGCGACCTTTAGCACTACCCAGTGCTTCATGCAGGAAGTGCTTTTTGCCTGCAGCTACTCTGATATGACTTTGCCTGCAGAACTTTGAGCTTATCATCAATAGCAGGCAGTGCAACTATATATCGTATACATACTACCGGAGTATCTCTTGTACATCCTAGAATTACCTGCATGGCTTCATTCTGTATGCATTCCAATTTCATCACCTGACTCTTTGATATGGTAAGCATTCCAAGTCCATAATCTATCACCGACATAATCACATGCTAGAACATTGTGAACAGCATTCTTTGTTCCGTGTCCATTGCTGCCATACTCTTAAGAGCATTGAGTCCTGGCATTTCACCACAACTGCTTCAGCGTGTTCCCTATAGAACAGGCTTCTATCAAAAGTCATACCCAGGTACCTCAATTTGCTTTCTCTTTTGATGTTACTGTTATTAACTGCGAGGCTTGGAACATTAGCTCTTACAATTCTTTTGTCCAGAGAGCACCACAAAACAGCTGCCTTTTCTGAATTGATGACAGCACCCATTTCTGTACACCAGTCGGTCACTTTGTCTACAGTTACCTGCAGCTCTTAGGCTATCCATTGTCTATCACTTCCCTGCCTATACCCAAGAACATCATCAGCAAATATAAATACCCTGCCAACACCTGGTGCTTTAAGTTCTGCAATCTTGATGTATACACATTAAAAAGCACAGGTGAAATTGCAGAACCCTGGGGTAGTCCCGGGGCTATATTACATGGTTCTGAGGTCCATGTACCCAGGTGAAAGGCAAACATATGTGAAGGCAGGACAGCTGCTATCCAGTTCACAAGCCAGGGACAAACACCTTTCTCCATGAGTGTAGATATCAAAATATCATACTTGACTCTATTGTAGGCATCCTCAAGATCAAGTGCTGCCACAACTGTCTCCTGTCTATTCTGGAACTCTTCATAAACATCAAAAGCAAAACAAAAAGTAGCTGCATTAGACCATGTATCTTGCCCTGGCCGGTAACAACATAAACATTTTGGCAGCAGCTTTTTAAGTTCAAAAACGTTTGTAGTTTAACAGCAATAATCTTCTCTAGCACTTTGCCAAAAGTATTTTTAGGGTGATAATGCTGAAGCCTCTAAGTCTGGAATGATCTTTGCCTGGTTTTGAAAGTGGGATCAGATAGCTGTGTCCCAATCCTGGGGTACTGAAGCTGTTCTGATGCTCTGGTTGAAGTGAAATGCTATCTCCCTCAAGTCTTTATCACTCATGTTCTTAATATGGATATACCTCACTCCGTCTGGTCCCGGCGCAGTGTCTTTTGCTTTTTTTAATTCATATTTTATATCCTCCACCCTAATAATATAATGAAAATAATTATCATTTATATTATTAGACAGATTATCTCTAACTAAATTTCTAAGCTCCCTATCATTATGAACAGTTTGGGCTTAAATTCTTTTTCAAAAATGCTTCCCCTTTCTCTTTGTCTGCTGTCATTAGCATAACATTATTAGTGTATATAAGCCCTGTTGTGATAGGCAGATCCTTCCTTTGCATCTGTCTGTGCAGTTTCCAAAACCTACCCAGCAATTCATCCCCTCCAATTTCGCTTATAAAATGTTCCCATTTAGCCTTTTTCGCATCTGCTGCACAACACTTAAACTCTTCTACTTTTCTTTTCTTTTTCTAGCTTGTCTACATCCTCTTGTAACCTGTGAGGTGCCTTTCGCACTTTTTGTAATTGTTTAACTGCTGCTCGCTTTGCTCTCTATGCCTGTTCTATTTCCTGGGTCCATCATGGCGAATGCACAAAAGCAGATGTGGTGGCTCTGCTGTATACTTTCCGCCAAAGGCATCCAAGAAGGGTACTGTCCTTCACATACTTAAAAGTCTTGCGCGTTCCCACAGCCCTGACCTTGCTAGCTTTAGAAATCAAGACGGAGCATGACATATGGTCACTCCTATGATCCCCTATGACACTATTTTGTGTCCAGAACTGCTGACTGGGTAACAAACGCCACATCAATAGTCGTGTCTGCATCACCAGGTTTCGTTGCTATTCTAGTTGGCCTACTATCCTTTCTACAAACTAGGTCTGCATCCACTATAGCCTCTGCTAAAGCATTTCCTTGCCTATTTTCCCCACTACTGTCCCATGCTCTATTCCGCACATTGAAATCCCCACTAATGAGAAGCCTATTACCAGGCATTTCCACAACTCTTTGAGCCAGCTCAAATGTTCCTTTGTGACAAAACAGTCAACAGCAGCGTAAACATTTACCATATTCCAGGTTGTGTCCCCATTATCTATCTGTATACCCTGAACCTCTAGTGTACTATGATTCCACTGGCCCAGGTCAAGAACCACATGTTTCACTCAGTTCTTTACCAGCAGACATTGTCCATGCCTTCCCTGCCCGGTAGGATTTAAATAACTAATGTATCCAGGTCACTCATATCTATCTATATTTAATTCCTGCAGCATGGTGATATCAAAGTCATAAACCAGTCTCTCCAGTACAGGACCTCTCTGTTTTCACACTACGACAATTCCAGTAGCCCACTCTAACATGCTTTAACCCCAAACACTTCGTTTTTTGGAGAGTCAGGCGAAAAACAGAGCATCTGGGATTAAATCATATTAGAGCAAGTTACTGGAATTGTCGCAGTTCAAAACAATAACAATTAATACAAGAAGTATGAAGGGACACAACAAGTACAGGTTACTAAAGAACATAGGTACGAAGATGACTACAAGAACACAAGTAATACACACAAGAAGAGATGTCCAGCAGACACAAGAATAGATGTCCAGCAGACACAAGAAGAGATGTCCAGCAGACACAAGAAGAGATGTCCAGCAGACACAAGATGAGATGTACAGATGACACAAGAGATGTCCAGCAGACAAAAGAAGAGATGTGTCTAGGAGACACACGAAGAGACGGCCAGCGGACACAAGAAGAAATGGCCAGCAAACACAAGAAAGGATGGCCAGCAGATGCAAAAAGAGATATCCAGAAGACACAAGAAAGAGATGTTCAGCACATATAAGAAGGAAATGTCCAGCACAAACATGAAAGAGATGTCCAGCACAAACAAGAAAGAGATGTCTAGCATAAACAAGAAAGAGATGTCCAGCAGACAACAGGCAGCCAGGAGAAGACTGTCTGGTGGTACCCACTCTCTGGATGATCTGCTGGATGGTGCTCATGTTGATGTTCTTGGCTTCCTCTAATATCTTGGCCTCATCCATTTTGAGGATGTTGACACGACTCTGACACAGTTCTACCATGATGACATGGGGTTTTGTGGCTTGGATCACCTGCATCAGCAGAAATATGGAAGGTTATCTGTGGCTTCCACCTGTCTTTTATTGCAGATAAAGTCTCTAAATGGTATATAGTTGTATCAAAATACAGTCTCTATGTGATCTGTATCAAGACTGAATGTAAATACACATTTTCAAAGACCTACACCAGAAATTAAATGTGCATATACAATATTTTCAAAGATCCATACCAGCAATTAAATGTGTATATACAACATATATTTAAAGATCTATACCAGGAATTAAATGTGTATTTACAACATTTTCAAAGATCTATACCAGGATCTGAATGTGTATATACAACATTTTCATAGATCTATACCAGGATCTGAATGTGTATACACAACATTTTCATAGATCTATACCAGGAATAAAATGTGTATATTGTACAATATATTCAAAGACATGCAGACAATAATTTTTATAGAATTTCTAGATCTTTATAATGTGTGTCTGTGGTGTGGTGTGTCTGTAGTGTGGTGTGTCTGTAGTGTGGTATGCCTGTGGTGTGGTGTGGTGTGTCGTGCATGTGCGTGTGTGTGTGTGTGCGTGTGTGTGTGTGTGTGTGTGGGTGGGTGGGTTGGTGGGTGGATAGATGGATGGATGGATGGATGGATGGGTGTGTGTGTGTCTGTGTGTCGTGTGTGTGTCTGTGTGTCGTGTGTGTGTCTGTGTCGTGTGTGTGTCTGTGTCGTGTGTGTGTCTGTGTGTGTGTGTCTGTGTCTGTGTGTGTGTCTGTGTGTGTGTTTGTCTGTGTGTGTGTCTGTGTGTGTGTGTCTGTGTGTGTGTGTGTCTGTGTGTGTGTGTCTGTGTGTGTCTGTCTGTGTCTGTCTGTCTGTCTGGCTCTGTGTGTGTGTGTGTGTGTCTGTGTGTCTGTGTGTCTGTGTGTGTGTCTGTGTGTGTGTCTGTGTGTCTGTCTGTGTCTCTGTGTGTGTCTCTCTGTGTGTGTCTCTCTGTGTGTCTCTGTGTGTGTCTCTGTGTGTGTCTCTGTGTGTGTGTCTCTCTCTCTCTCTCTGTCTGTGTGGGGCGGGCGGGCGGGTGTGTGTGTGTGTGTGTGTGTGTGTGTGTCTGTCTGTCTGGATGTATGTATGTATGTATTTATGTATGTATGTATGCATCTATGTATGTATCTATGTATGCATGTATGTATGATGTATGTATGTGCTATCTTCAGAATAATGGTCCCAAATTATCGAGACCGAAAATATACCCTTACAGGGCCTCAGTCACGTGTCAATTGCGGACTTCCGCCACAGCCGAGAGTTACTGGGGCTTAACTAGATGGCTAGGACTGAGGCCCTGTTAGGGTATATTTCCGGCCTCGATAATTTGGGACCATTGTTCGGAAAATAGCCTATGTATGTATATATGTACATACGTATGTATATATGAGTGAGAGAGAGAGAGAGAGAGAGAGAGAGAGAAAAGAGCTGGTGAAGGCTGACACACACAGACACACATCATCACTAATATGGGTGGGAATCAACCCCTGCCTTACCTTAGACACATACTTGTGCTCTCTCTCTCACTCTTACATGCACTCTCGTACGCACACATACACCACCTTATAAAGTGTATTCACACACACAGACACACATGCTATTACCTTAGAAACATCATCCTGACTCTCCTGGCTAAAATGGGCTGTGCCAACAATGTATACCAGGCAGCCGTCCCGGTGAAGCAAAGTCACAGTGTCTGGAAGATCTGCGATGGAAGCAGGCACTCTATGTGTGGGCTCAATCTCCCCTTCACCATCTGTAAACATGTCATCTTCATCCACACCATCACTGAGCCATCCCTCATTGTCTTGTTCACCTGTAACCATACAAAAATGAGCCATGATGGCAAAAGCAGCCGCAGTAGTGACTATACAGACACAATCCAGTGGATCCAAATCAACAAGGATATCACCAGGTGATATAGTTATAGCCAGGAAAGGTCCGATGGCAATTAAGGCAATGGCATACTCTGACACTGAAAAACGACTACCGTTCCTTCTCTATCAGGGACTTGTATTATAGACCATGATCTGGGCATCCTCACTGTCAGCAGCACCCACTAAAAAGACTGGACTGATTACAAAATGAGGAAATGAGACTCAAGCTTGACTGCTCAAAAGACAAATCATGACGTGAGATATGTCCTGAGTTCAACATTCAATCTGTTGTGGAAAAATAATCTTTCAACAGTTTCAATATTCAAAAGACCCCTGTGTGGGTTCCGGGGCCCCATTGTGGGGAAAACAAGAATAGACCCACTGCCTCCCCAAAAGCATGTCGTAAGAGTCGACTAATTGGGGAGCTTCCTTTGAAGTCGGAGTGCATCTGCCGGAGAGGCAAGGAACCAACAGTCTGTATTCAAGAGAATGAGATCTGTAAAACTGATGCACACGCAACACTCAGGTTCTGGAGCGGGACTGCAGTTCAGTAGTGGACGATCAACCAGAACTTTCCGCCAGAGTGTACAGCTGGTGAATGCGAAGAAGAAGAAGAAGAATATTCAAAAGTTGTAGAATCATTACCTAACTAACTGTTTTAACGTTCAATAAGTTAAAGAAACATTGTCTATCAACAGTCCAACATTAAATTTGTTGTAGAAATAATATATCGTCATCTCACCATTCAAAAGTCGTACAAACATTACCTAACTGTTTAACAATAAATAAGTTACAGAAACATTACCTAACTAATAGTTTAACATTCAGTAAGTTACAGAAACATTGCCTATCAACAGTCCTACATTCAAAAATTACAGAAACATTACTTATCATCAGCTCACCATTCAAAAGTGGTACAAACATTACCTAACTAACATACTAACATTCAATAAGTTACAGAAACATTACCTAACAGTCTAACATTCAATAAGTTACAGAAAAATTACCTAACTAACAGACTAACATTCAATAAGTTACAGAAACATTACCTAACTAACAGTCTAACATTCAATATGTTAGAGAAACATTACCTAACTAACAGTCTAACATTCAATATGTTACAGAAACATTACCTAACTAACAGTCCAACATTCAAAAATTACGGAAACATTACCTAACAGTCCAACATTAAAAATTAAAGAAACATTAACTAACTAACAGTCCAACATTCAATTAGTTACAGAAACATTGCCTATCAACAGTCCAACATTCAAAAATTACAGAAACATTACTTATTGTCAGCGCAAGATTCAAAAGTCGTACAAACATTACCTAACTAACAGTCTAACATTCAATATGTTACAGAAACATTACCTAACTAACAGTGCAATATTTAATAAGTTACAGAAACATTACCTAACTAAGAGTCCAACATTCAATAAGTTACAGAAACATTACATAACTAACAGTCCAAAATTCAAAAATTACAGAAACATTACCTAACTTACAGTCCACCATTTAAAAATAACAGAAACATTACCTAACTAACATTCAATAAGTTACAAAAACATTACCTAACTAACAGTCCAACATTCAAAAATTACAGAAACATTACCTCACTAACAGTCCTAACATTCAATAAGTTACAGAAACATTACCTAACTAACAGTCCAACATTCAATAAGTTAAAGAAACATTACCTAACTGTTTAACATTCAAAAAGTTACAAAAACATTACCTAACCTAACAGTCAAACATTCAAAAATTACAGAAACATTACCTAACTAACAGTCTAACATTCAATAAGTTACGGAAACAATACCTAACTAAATGTCTTTCCCTGAAACAGATAAACGATGCTCTCCTCAGCGCAACATTGAGACTGCAAATAAAGCAAATATACAGCAAACAACAACAACAAACAAAGTGACCAACCTTCTGAGGCTAGCTCATCATTGCCATCATCCTCCTTGTTGAGGTGTGAGGCTCCTCCCACATTATTATTGATTGCATTATCTACTACAATATGGCCAGAATTGTTGTTGGTCATAGCATCCTCACCGCCGCCCTCCTGGGACATGATCACATGTGTCCCTGGTGTTGGCTGCCACAGGAAGTCTCCAATTGAGCTCACTGCAGTCACGCTATGGAGGTCTACAACATAAACATGAAGTCACATCAGCTATACAGTCTGTTACAATAAACAAAAAAGTGATTAGCCTTCATCAGCAGAATGGCAACAAGAAACGAAACACAACACACACAAAAGATATGACTCTACAATAACCATGTAATTCAATACTGTTCAAACAAATATAACAAAATAATAAATGATGATGATGTGTTTTGGTGCATGTTTTAAAGTGTTAAGTTGGCATTTTCCTGGTTTTCTATTATTCATATAATTCTTTCTACATACAGATATTTAAACAGTAATATCTCAGCTGACAAGAATACTTATTAATAAATAATAATTACAAACGTCACTGGGTTTTCCTAGTGGACAGTTTCAATTTCTAAAGCTATTAATTAGTAGTTGAATTTCGACTTAGCAGGCTTATTAAACAGAAATACTGCGGAAAATGTGAGGGCAGTATGTTGTTGTGGGGCATAATCATCGTCTAGTACTGTGTATCTGTTCTCAATTTAAACCGCTATGATAGCAAGGGTAGGTCACATGTCAAACCAACAGTGGGCCTTGTCATTTTACTTACAGTACTAACAATATGTCTGGTCTACACCAACAGCTGAAGGACTTGTGACTGGTCAGTGAGACAGTAGACAGACAGTACAGTCGCAGGTATATCTGATTGAAGACTATCAACGTGGAGGCTAAAGTATCTCAGACTGTATTATACAATCAACAATGTAACTGCAGTATCTCCGATTGTAGAGTGTCGATTGTCAACTGGGATGTGAAGCTAGCAGATCTCCGAGTGTAGGTAGTCAAGCGTCGAGGATCCAATCCTAGAAGTCTGCTGGCCGAGTTGTTTGCCCCTGCTATTCTGCTGACTCGATGTTCCTTTTAGCATCGATACCACGGGTACATTTGCGATACTCCGCTTTGACTCAAACATCAACTGTCAGATGTATGGGGCGGGGGGGGGGGGGGGGGGGTGATCTCTTATGCCTTCTTTATCTCCTCCTCCTCCATCTCCGACCTCCCCATCTTCCATATTTTCTTTTTCTTCCTTCATTTCCTTAACCTCTTTTTTTCTTCTTCTTCTTTTTCCTCCTCCTACTCCTCTTCTCGGTGGCTAATGCGATGCGAAGTCTTCGTAATGCCGGGATGCCGGGTTCGATCCCAGCTGCTGGCCATGCGCCTTGCGTTGGTTTCGACAGTGGTATCAAGAAAGCCGACCGTCCGAAAAGCAATAGCAAACTACTGGACGTAAAATTGCCTAGAAAAACCACACAACAGCGATGGGCTGTTGGGGTTGGTTCTGCAACGTCCTATAAAGGATATGCAACTAACCCAACCTCCTCTTCTTCATCTTGTACTTTTTCGGATAAACAGATTCCGGTTATCCTCCAAATAACGGTCCCAAATTATCCAGTCCGAAAATATACCTAAAGAGGGCCTCAGTCACAGTCACTTTTGGCGACTCAAATTGCGCACTTCCACCGACTTCCGCCACTGCAGAGAATATCTCACACGCCGCTACGGGCGGCGTGGATTGGGGCTAAACTAAATGGTTAGGACACGAGCAGCAGCTACCGCATCTCCTGCTCCTTCATTTTATTTGCTCGTGAGTCCCAGTCATCTAGTTCATCCCCAATCCACGCCGCTGACTCAGTTGTCGCATTGACATTTCCACTTATCATGGCGTCGACAGGTACTGATTGTCTGCGTCTGATGCAAGTATCCAGTCCTCTTCATCAGTTGGTGTCCACCCGAAGTCTTCTTGACATTCATCTGTAGTTCTGTAGCTACATAGCATCAAATCGATCAGAGTTATCATGGGGTTGGGTGGTTATCCAGCGGTCAACGATCAAGATGGGGATTATATGTCCATTAACCTGTAATGACTGACCTCGATTCTATCACCACCATCATGACAATGGAGGCAATGGCTGTGACAAAGGTCCTAGAGTCATAGAGTGGCTAAAACCTCAGAAATTCAAAAATGCATATTTGCTCGGCGACTCAATGAACATGCTACAGAAGATCAAGGTTGGGTACATACGGAAACGGTGGTTCCATCTGATACAGCGCGGAGCGTTTCGCTAAATCACCTTCATTTGTGTCCTATGGTATGCTGGTGTGAAAGGCAATCAGAGAGCAGACGCTCTGGCTGGCAGTGCGACAATCAGGAATGGGTCGTCTATGGACTGTAGAGACATCATCAATACTGTACGAGAGACTAAACGCTGTGAGGCTTCAGTTTCGTGAAACATGACTTTTCACTGAATAGACTGCATACTCTGTGTGTACGAGCTAAAGCAGCGAGACAGGAAAACCATGCGGGAGCCGCCCGTCGTTACATCAACCAGAACAGAATGGGAGCTGTTAGTCTAAAAAGAGATACTCAGGAGGAGATAGGAGCATTTATGGTCATGTCCGATGTGCGATGAAGATGATATATGAACTGAACAATGAACGAGTTTTGTAGCAAAAAGACCACCTGGTTAACCTTAGACCTCTATGGTAAGAAGCACGGTTTAATAAGAAGACAGACCGGAGGAGAATCCAACAATACATAAGAAGAAAGAATGTGAGAGATTCGAGTTCCTTGAGTTCCACCACCCTCATCCCCACATTCTCTGAGGCAACAGTAAGGAGAAGAAGAACGAAGAACAACATTTTTTTCCCCAAAGGGTTACAAATTGGGCACGCAGGCTTGTCTTTAATTCGGCCCTTTCGGGTACTCTTCTTTCAGACAATTGCATGCTTTCAATAATATATGTTATGTTGATTTTAAAAAAAATATACATAATGAAGCAACCACACAGACTCAGAATATACACGAATACATAACTCTTACATGTCCATACATAGACAGACACAAGCATAATTATATATTCAAACACTGACACACAGACTCACACACACACCTTCAAACAAATACATACATGCACTCACGCTCATGCGCACACACACAAAGACTTAAACTCTCCCTCTCTCTCTCTCAAAATATATAAATAGGTATATATATATATATATATATATATATATATATATATATATATATATATATATATATATATATATATATATATATTAATAAAAATGTTAATTTTCCGAGTTTATTAACTCTAAACTCGGAAACTACTGAACCGATTGCTTTAAAATTTTTACACAACGTTGCCTCTGACTCAAAGCGTGATTTTTTTGTCATAAAATCGCTCAAACCACGAACGGCGTAAATCCAGCAACGGTCAAATCAATATTTGTTTCGTTGCCCGCCCGGATTTGTTTTATACGATTGGCCACCTTGGACTGCTGAGCAGGGCTGCCAAAAGATGACTTTTTCCCTAGGATCATTTCTTTGCCGATCGCTTTTAAATTTTCACACAACGTTACCTTAGACTCCACGCGTGTTTGTGTGTATGAGTTTTGCACAAACCACGAACGACGTAGCTCCAGCAACGATCATTTCATTAGTTATTTCGTTGCTGGCCCGGTTTTGTTTTTAGTCGATTGGCCACCTTTGACTGTGTAACACCGAACTTCACATTGTTATTTTATATACTTTCACATGCTTGCGTATATAGTAGCGTAGTTAGTTGAAAGCATTTCGCCTTTTACACGGGTGATAGGGGTTCGATTCTCCGCTGGGTGATATAATTGTTTTTGCCCCTAACTGGGTGGCTGCCACATTTTGTTGTGGTTTATAGCTAGGCTGCGATATCTACGCTTTTTACAGCTAGCTCGCGATAGCGGTGACGTGATGCTCAATGTTCATGTCACGGGTAATATTCGTTCGCCCTCGAGAGGGCGGTTGGCACGCTGTGTTGTGGTTTACAGCTAGGCTGCGATGTCTGACATAAAGTCTTCAGTCTTCGGTAGTAGAGTTGTAAGTAATCCTCCCATTACGCGGATGACCGGTGTTCGATTCCCCGCTGGGTGCTAATTTTTCATTTTCCCCTAAAGTGGCGATTGGCACGTTGTGTTGTGGTTTACAGCTAAGTTGCGACATCTGCTTCTTACGCCCAAAGACATCCGATTTCAGTACAGACCAAATTAGCCTCCCCTCAACGCTTCACTCGATCAAAAACTATTCGTTGATGGCAGGAACTGTTAACTAAGAAGGCTTACGGTCTAGTTTGGTTTGGGTCGACACGGATGTCAAGGTTAATTAAACATCGTCCCCTCGGAGAGGGAGCGATGACGAGTGCGGGTTTTTATTTCCGCCACTTGTGAGTATAGTGTACTTTTTTTTTTAAATCACGGAATATTACTGTGGGTTCCTCCACTGGTTAGGTGATGGAGTTTTATGTCGGGGACACACTTAAACTAAACAGTCCGTGGCGACAGCACACATCGCCAGCTAGTCTGGCTACAACGACATGTACAAACAGTAGTGACATGTTTGTGTTGTTGTTGTGACGGTGGTAGTGGTAGCAGTAGTACTGGTACTTGATGGGTGATGTGGTAGCTGTTACACTGGCCACATTTACTTCTCAGTACAGATTAATGCTACCTATTTTTGTCTGGGTGGACATTGATGCCAAGCTCAATTTAACAACAATATTTTGTCAGGCACTGACTTTCCCATACTTCGTAGAGGATGATATGATTGTCACGGGGGGGGGGGGTTAGCGGTGGGGGAAAGGGGGGAGGTAGGGTTGATGCCAGACACTGTTAACTGAGAGAGCTTAAAAGATTATTTTATTATGGCAGGTTTCAGTATCGATCATCCATTAACTCAATATACGACTACGACTACCGCCAGCTGGAGCCTTCATCGGTTGTCTCCACTTACTTCCTGTCTCGCTATTCTACCGTCACCGTAATAAACGTCGTCAAGTATCAAAATCAGAGCCAATTTTGTCGGGGAGATTCTCTACAAATCACGATCCCTGGTTGCATGGAACAACTCTCTTGATGATATCACTCCATGAATACGTTTCAACCCATCCAGCATCTTATCTCTTGATCTGCTTCTACCCCCTTTTCCATTGATCTTTCCAGTTGTCACGATGTTCTCCACAAAGTCGCTTTTCTCATTATGTGGCCAAAGAACAGTATTTTTGTTGTTGTATAAAGAGATCTGCTTTCATTAGCTTCTTTCAAACAATAGTTGTTAGATATTCTGGAATACACAAAGAAAACAATAATAAACCAAAAAATTTTATTGATCGAAATTAAACAAAGCGATGTCTATTTTTTTAAAAAATACTTCTACTTTATTTATGTCTGAAACATTTTCTCTAACTTTTTTTTAAATTGCAAAGTTGTTTTTTTTTTTAAATCAGATCCTCAAACTAATCTTGTGTAACGTATCTGCTTTTATACTTAACAGAAATGAAGAATCTGATCATTTCACTAAGTGGACATGACGTCTCATTAACCAACACAGAACTAGTGTTATCAGTAGTTTTACACTTGTGGAGCTTTTGAGGAGGAGATCGAAGCACCTATGGATTTGTCCGGAGTTCTGTGATGATAATCCTTTCTAATCACTAATCTAGCTAGTTAGTTAGTTAGTTGGGTTATCGTCATTGCACTCCGGACATGTCTATAGGGGCTCAGATCCTCCCCTCAGTATGAACCCCAACGTCCGATGGCTAAGAGTACTAGTTCTATGTTGATTAACAAGTATTCTGGCGTGTCTGGAGTGTGTCTCTTTTTTTTTTTTTTTTTTCATGCCGATCTTAATTCCCAAGTCTGGCGAGTGATGTGGATTCACTACCACCAAAGTCCTCTATCCTTCCCATTTCTCTGAGGGCATTGATAATATTAGCATGATCCATAGGCTGACCGTCGGTAGTGATAGGGGATCCAGCCAACACGTCAGCTCTTTCATTTCCATCGACGGTTGTGTGTCACGGAACAAAAATAAAGGTGACTCCACGCACACTGGACTTCTGTAATGATTCAAGCCATTGTCTTCGCACCGAACCTGCATGAACACTCCGGATCACACTCATTGAATCACTGAGTATACATACGCGGGTGTATTTTTGTGTTTCGAGCTGGGCAAACGCTTGCGTCACTGCCATCACCTCCATCGTCATGCTACTGGTTGTCGTGGAGAAGGCGCCGCTGGCTTCTTTGACTGTTCTGCCCGCTGAGCGTGCTGTGAATGCCCATGCTCTTCCTTTTTGGGGTATAACGGATCCGTCTGTGTAGATTAGTGCATCTGCTTCGTCTGAATTTTCACTGATGAGAGCACTGACCTCTGCATTAACAGCAACAGGATTCTCTTCTCTACATCGCCTGTTTAGTGTGGCAATACGGGAAAATGTACAAATAAACGCATGCGGCACAGGTATCCACTCTGCACCAGGTATGATGTCGGTTAGGCTGCATATTTGCCTAATATCTTCTGCCCGACCTAGCCACGATTTTTCCCTCTTCAGTCTGTCGCCCTTTTCACTAAAAAGCGCTTGATGCAGTGGGTGTTTCTTATCAGCACATATTTTAAGGTATGCCCGAGTCCTCCACATCCTGATCCTTTGGTTCATTGTTGGAAAGTCAAGTAGATACCTCATTGTTCCACAGGATGTGTCTCTTGTACATCCCAAAATAATGCACATGGCTTAATTTTGCACCTTTTCAAGTCGTTCTAATCACTAATCGCAGAAATGAAGCATCCAGCCTGCCTTGTTCTGATATGATTTTTATAAACAATACTTCAAGTAAGAGTTATAACGCTAAGCACCAGGATGCCCCAAACACGTACTTACTGTGCTTAATGGTTAATCTGGCACGGAGGGAAGAAATAGACTACATGCATTGTGTGACATATGCACAACAGGACACATGATGATAATGATGACTACCATTGTTCATTGCTGACTATGGCCACACTTGGGGCAGAAATCTGGCACTGTCGTCTGCAGGAAGATCAGAGCCGGTTGTTTTCTCGCTGGACGGACAACTTTCAGACACGATCTCAACATCTTGGAGTTTATTCTCTCTTTAGGTGGACATTCAGAAACCATCTGCGAGCCTTTTCTCACTCAGAGGACGAACACTTCGAATCTGCAAGCTTTCTGTCTCTCAAGGGGCGGACAGACACGATCTACGAGCTTTTTCTCCACACACTTGTGTAGCTGTTTTCTTGTTGAAGTTCCTAGTACTAGTACTAGTACTAGCATTACTTGGTGTAAATTTTTTGAGTAATCGTAATTCATTTTAACCCCTACGCCATGAATATCAGATGTGCAACAGTGAGTGGTTTTCATTGATCTAATAGTTATTAGTTATATAACAACATTCTTCATCTGTTACTAATACTGCGAATCGCCGAATGAATGCATCAATGTGCGCCGATCACACGCCGACTTTTATTCACTGAATTATTCAGTTAATGTGCTTTCTCAGTCAGTCAGTTGACATGTTATCCAAGACAAGACCAGTCTGAATCTTCCATAATTGTCACCACACAGCACACCCCCGACTCCTTCATTGTTCCTCATCTTCTGCTACTGTCTGTAAGTGTTAGGAATACTAATACTACCTTAACCACTACTACTAATAGTAATACTAATAGTGGCAGTTATGCAAAGATATTTTGTGTGTGTGTGCGTATCTTGTTCAAAATTATGTCTAGGATTGCCCAGACAACATTAGTTCTTGCCAAGCAGCATTATGGAAATCTAAAAACAATTCATGCAAGACTTAGATTTGATTACTCAGAGCACTAAACTCACTAGTTATTAGTACATTTACATGATATGATATGGCTGGGAAACGTGGAACTTAACAACAGCTGAACTTGAAAGAAAGATACAAGCAGTAGAAATGCAATGTTGGAGAAAAATTCTTGGCATATCATACAGAAACCACATAACAAACGAGGAAGTTCGCTATAACATTTTACAGCACATTGGCAACAATGAACCTCTTTTAACTACTGTGAAAAGTTGAAAAATGCAATGGTATGGACATGTAATAATAAGATCTAACGGCCTCTCAGAAACAATACTGCAGGGCTCAGTAGAGGGAAATAGGAGAAGCGGCAGAGCAAGAAAGACCTGGTTACAGATCCTGACTGACTGGACAGGCCTCAGGCATGCAACCATAAAGTCCCATCGCAACAGACCTCCAAAGGTGGAGAGAGCTGATCAGACAGTCAACAGAAACTGGTGACCCAACATGTAGTGTTACGGGATGATGATGATGTTCTTATTCAACCCTGTTGTCTACACATAACTTTTTTTTCAGATGTAATTACTACAGTATATCATATCACAGTCTTTAATTTTTTTTTTTAAACTTTCTGTTTTGGCTTTTTAATGTTGTAATAGATTGTGATTTATCCTTGTTAGACATTCACCCTGTGCTGTCCAAATGTATTTTTGATTTTCATTTTTATGATTGGTCATCTCTTTCATTTGGTGACTCCTAAAGTGTTTGTAAATCAAATCTGCCTGAATATTCCAGGGCTATGTTATTTACTATTGAACTGATGTCCTGTAGGCCCCTGTAGGCCTAGCAAGTGGCCCACAGATCATCATCAACTGTATTGTCTGTGATATTCCTATTCTGGGCCTGTGACTCATGACAATCACAGTTTTTAACATTTTGGCTCTTGACCCTGAGTAAACTTAGCTGAATATCTATTTCCATTCAGTTTAAAAAATTAATTTGTCTCTCTCCATCATCTCCAGTACTTTCACTGTGCCCAAGAACCATGTCTGTTAGTCTTCATGATGCCAGTAATTCTTCTGGTTTCTTCTTTTGTCATATCACTGATACCAGGTTGTAGTTCAGTATTGTAGTTTTCTGTATTTGTCTTGCATTCCTCGGGTGGCTTGGATGGTGGATTTGTTCAGATCTTTGCAGCTTTCATCTACACATGTTTATCCATGATTTTTTAGGTCTTCCTCTTGATTTCCTCCCAGATGTTCTCCTGTAAATAGTCTTTTATGCAGTCTGGTCTGGCTGCATTCTCATTAGATGGTCGAACCATTTCATTCTTTGTCAATATAATCCAGACTTGGTCTTTTCCCAATTTTCTCTCTAATGCTGGTATTCATAACCCTGTCTCTTCTTGTGTTGCTAGTGACCCTGAGGAGACAGCACATTTCACATGCAGTTATTTTCAGTGTTTCTTGAGTAATAGCAGAGTTGTGGTTAATTTTACATGTATGTGTCATATGTGTACAGGTTTTAATTGACTAGAGTTGTTAATCTTTTCTCCAGACATATAATATTATTATAGCCCCGTCATGTAGTTTCATTATACATAGTACTGGTACAAGTAGATAAATCCTACAGTTTGCTTTGTTTGAAGCCGAACAGATTGACTTAATTGCACTGATTTTAAAAAGTAATCTCATATGGTTGAATTTCTCGGCACCATGACTGTTGAATCTGTTGACAGCCTGACTGTTGAGTCTGCCGGTGGCGTGACTGTTGACCTGCAAAGAGAGCCAAAGGATGAAACTAGTTCCAGTAATGATCCCAGGTCTAAAATGCCAAAGTCTGATTGGGTTACATATGGCTGTATTCTTCTTTGCGTTCACCAGCTGTCAATCCTGCAGAGGGTTCTGGCTGTTTGTCCACCTCTGGACTTTATTTTGTTGTTGTTTCAGAATCTGAGTGTTGTGTGCATATCCATTTTACATATATGACTTATCAGTAAGCAGATTGTTGTTTTCCTGTCTCTCAGGCAGATGCACTCTGACTTCAGAGGAGGTCCTCTTTTCGTCAACTCCTTGGGGAGTCATGAGTCCGTTTCATGTTTCTCCCTGTAACGGGACCCACGAACAAACACAGGGAATCGCTGGGTTTGTTCTGTTAGCTTTTTTGGGGGGGACATTTTATGAAAAGAAATGTACTTGAGAACTTGGTTAAGCCTGGCAAGATTGTTGGACTAAGATTATGGATAAGACAAAAAGATAAATACTGAGGTTTCTTGACCATATCAATGGGGGTAAGATAGGGGTATTGACCTGGTCCATGTTTTTGATGATTGTGTGAAACATAACTGCCGACAGGGCACATGATGTTAATGATTGGTTATATATGTCTCTATATTTTATTCAAGTCTTAGTGGGTTATATCAGTACTGCAATCACATCTGGGTGAGTTATATATTTCAGTATTACACTCAAATCTGAGGGGGTTATATATTCCAGTATTACATTCACGTCTGAATGGGTTATATGTTCCAGCATTACACTCACGTCTGACTGGGTTATATATTCCACTATTACACTCAAGTGCATTATATGTTGCTGCATCACGCTAAATTGTCACTCAGTTCCATTTAAGAATGATTTCACAATGAGAGGATTTATGTTGCAGCCTGATGACCTGATGAACATGCAGCACTGTAACCTTTTGTGTTTGCCAGAAAATTATCAGATGAAATACTACTTCTACCATGGCCTGTCCTGGCCACAGGTGGGCATTATTTCAGAGTTTTTTAAAGTCAGCGTGGTTGTCATGTTTGTGCAGTACAGTCAGCATTGTTGTCATGTTTGTGCAGTACAGTCAGCATGGTTGTCATGTTTGTATGGTAGTTTTCATGTTTGTGTGGTAGTCGGTGTGATTGGCATGTTTGTATGGTACAGTCAGCATGGTTGTCATGTTTGTGCAGTACAGTCAGCATGGTTGTCATGTTTGGGCAGTACAGTGAGCATGGTTGTTATGTTTGTGCAGTACAGTCAGCATGTTTGTATGGTAGTTTTCATGTTTGTGTGGTAGTCGGTGTGATTGGCATGTTTGTGCAATACAGTCAGCATAGTTGTCATGTTTGTGCAGTACAGTCAGCATAGTTGTCATGTTTGTGCAGTACAGTCAGCATGGTTGTCATGTTTGTATGGTAGTTTTCATGTTTGTATGGTAGTCAGTGTGATCGGCATGTTTGTATGGTAGTCAGCATGGTTGTCATGTTTGTATGATAGTCCACATGGTTTTCATGTTTGGTAGTCAGTGTTGTTGTCATGTTTAAATAGTAAAATCAGCATGTTTGCAAGCCTTTGTATTTTAGAATAACCAGTATTGTAGCTGATTGCTGGCATCAACACTATAGCCAGTTGATGGTCAAAACTGTAGCCAGTTGTTGGTGGTAGTAGTCGACACTGTAGTCAGTTGTAGTTGGTCAACACTGTAGTCACTTATTGGCATTCAACTGTGTAGCCAGTAGTTTGTGTCAGCACTGTAGCCCCTTGTTGGTGTTCAACTGTACAGCCAGTAGTTTGTGTCAGCACTGTAGCCCCTTATTGGTGTTCAACTGTGTAGCCAGTAGTTTGTGTCAACACTGTAGCCACTTGTTGGGGTTCAACTGTGTAGCCAGTAGTTGGTGTCAACACTGTAGCCACTTGTTGGCGTTCAACTGTGTAGCCAGTAGTTGGTGTCAACACTGTAGCCATTTGTTGGCGTTCAACTGTGTAGCCAGTAGTTGGTGTCAACACTGTAGCCACTTGTTGGCATTCAACTGTATAGCCAGTAGTTGGTCTCAGACACTAGCCATTTGTTGGTGTTTAACTGTGTAGCCAGTAGTTTGTGTCAACACTGTAGCCACTTATTGGTGTTCAACTGCATATCCAGTAGTTGGTCTTCGACACTAGCCACTTATTGGCGTTTGGTTGTATAGCCAGTTGTTGGTTTCCGACACTAGCCATTTGTTGGTGTTCAACAGCTGTACAACCAGTAGTTGGTGTCAGCATTGCTGCACATTGGGCATTTTGATCAGAATCCAGTTTGTTTGTCTTGATGAAACTGACCCAGTTGGTTCTGTATTGACTTTCTCCTTTCTTGTTTCCACAGTTGTCCTACATTGCTGAAGATGAACGTGGAAAAATTGGCAGAGAGGACAGGGTGGTGACATGTGGCAGAGAGGACAAGATGATGACATGTGGCAGAGGGGGCAAGATTGTGACAGAGGGACAAGATGATGACATGTGACAGAGGGGACAAGATGATGACATGTGACAGAGGGGACAAGATGATGACATGTGGCAGAGGGGACAAGATGATGACATGTGACAGAGGGGACAAGATGATGACATGTGACAGAGGGGATAAGATGATGACATGTGACAGAGAGAAGAAGGTGGTGACAAGTGACATATCTGTATGAAAGCAGCTGGCAGATAAGTGAAAACCATCATTGTTATAGTCTCTCTATTCTCATCTTGTAGGGTCACAGGGCTCCATGTTTGGGGGGGGGGGGGCAAGAATAGATACTCAGTCCCCCTATTTTGTAGATGTAGTCTTTGCGTGTTGAAGAAGTAAATGGCACTGACAGCTCAGACATATTCTATTGTGAGTCTAGAATTACTGCTGCAGGATTGCCTTGTACTTGCTTTGTTGATGTTTCCACAATCAAATGGTTTATTTGACTGCAGGGAGGAGGACCCTGAAGATTCAGTGCCACATGGTCACATTACATCGTTGGTAAGTTTCTTTGTCTGGTTTATGTTTCCATTGTCTAATTTATGTTAATTATGTCTGGGTTTTTTTAAAAATGTTTCCAGTGTCTGGTTTATGTTTCCAGTGTCTGGTTCATGCTTCCTCTGTCTGGCTATCTTTCTTGTATATGGTTTATGTTTCCTGTGATGGTTTATGCTTCAGGAATCTGGTTTATGCTTCAGTATTTGGTTTATGTTTCCAGTCTCTGGTTTTTGTTTTCTGTGTCTGATTTACATTACTTGTGTCATTTTTGTGTGTCTAATTTATGTTGCTGATGGCTGGTTTATGTTTCTTGTCACGGTTATTGTGTCTGGTTTTTTTTGGTCATTCTGATTGTTGACTAAATGTTTTATCAGTTGTTGACCAAACATACAGCCCTTGTGTTGACTATACAAGATGTCTAATATTGACTTTCATTTAATAGTTTAACATATTTTTGTTTGCTCATTGCATGTGATCTCTAGGCGGTGAAGAGATCCCACAGACGACTAGGCCTGGCCCAGAAACTCATGGACCAGGCTTCCCGTGCTATGGTGGAAAACTTTAATGCCCATTATGTTTCTCTTCACGTGAGAAAAAGCAACAGAGCTGCCTTACATCTCTACACGGAGACACTTCAGTTCTCGTAAGTGACCATGGCTATATCTCTGCACAACGTATGGTTTTCATTATCTTCATTTCATCTTGTCATTATCTTCATGTCATTTCAGCAATATCTTATATCATTACATTATCTTCGTCATTTCATTGTTATCTTCATTGCAGCTCATTGTTATCTTCATGTCATCTCATCATTATCTTCCTGTCATCTCATCATTATCTTCATGTCATATCATCATTACCTTCATGATATTTAAATGTGGTCTCCATGGAGATTTGTTTCGATGAGTATTTGTTTCTGTGGAGTTTCCAGGATATGTGTCTGAGGTTCCATGAAGATTTGTGTCTGTGTAGTTTCCATGATAATTCGTCTGTATTTTCTGCTTTCCAGTATGGGTTGAAATCAGAAGCAGAGCAGTTAGCCATTGAAGCAGTCAAAAGCACCTCATAAGAGAAGACAGCAGCTGTATTTATTTGAAGTGGGTCATTTAAGAGATGAGATTTTAGGTTGTTGAACATGTGTAGGTATATAGCCATGTGAGAGAAGCAAGAGAATGTAGAGTCCATTGTGATGGGGGGGGGGGGGGGGGGGAGAGAAGAGAAGGGATTGTCACTTGTAATTGTGGGGAAAACGAAAACCAAAGAATGTCACTTGTAATTGTGGGAGGGAGGAAAATTAAAGAATGTCACTTGTAATTATGGGAGGGAGGAAGATTAAAGAATGTCACTTGTAATTATGGGAGGGATGAAAACCAAAGATTGTCACTTGTAATTGTGGGAGGAGGAAAACCAAAGAATGTCACTCGTAATTGTGGGAGTGAGGAAAACCAAAGAATGTCACTTGTGGTTGTGACCCCTACATTACCAAGATGATTGTGAGAGAGAGAGAAAATGGCATAGAATTTCAGGTGTTAAGTGACATATTTACATCAAGGTTTTGATAAATGTATCTTTGTTAATCCTTCAGTTTGTGAGAGAATGCAGAAGGTCAGATTTAAAAGTTTTGTTTTTATCTGCAATGATTTTTGTCTGTGTGTATGCGAATGAGAGAGGTGAGAGAAAGAAGTCCTATTTGATAATTATAAAATATATAAATCTCTTTTGACTGGTTTGGGTGAGAGAAGGCTAAAGAGAGAGAGAGAGAAAAATGATTGTGGATGTAGAGAGAGAGAGAGGGGGGGGGGGGTGTACAAGTCACATTTGAATTTTGTTTATGCATCTGTTTGTACCTCTGAAAGAGAAAAAGAGGGAGATTAGAAGTAGCTTTTAGTTATTAGATATTTATATTTTTTCCAAACCTGTGAAAGAAGCATGGATGAAGAATACATCTGAAAATAAGATAAATTGTGAAAATAAGATAAATTTGACTATAATAAGATCTGAATGTGTATGTTGAACTGTGTATGTGTATCTATTGATAGCCTGCCTGTCATCAAATCCCCTGTGTGACCTAGCTGTCGACAGAGATGTGGATCCACCAAATTCATGTCGACTTTCTGCTCATGACCTCACAAATGTTTGCTTATGATCTGGATACTCCAGAAAACCACACATTAAATTTTCTTGGATTGGTATCCACAGCTTTGTTGATTTTTTTCTTGTGTTGTCTGTTTCCTTATTTATTTGCTATTTGTAATCTCAGCTACCACCTACTGTGTGGCAGATCAAGGATGTATTGTCTCACCTATCACCTGCTGGGTGACAGATCAAGGATGTATTGTCTCACCTACCACCTACTAGGTGGCAGATCAAGGATGTATGATTTCCGACCTGACACACTGGGTGGCAGATCATAGATGTGTGATTTCTGACCTGACCTGCTGAGTGGCAGATCAAAGATGTGTGATTTCTGACCTGACACACTGGGTGACAGATCAAGGATGTATTGTTTGATTTGACACACTGGGTGACAGATGAAGGATGTGTTGTCTGACCTGACACACTTGGTGACAGATGAAGGATGTGTTGTCTGACCTGACACACTGGGTGATAGATAAAGGATATATTGAATGACATTTGACAGATACACTGGGTGGCAGATGAAGGATATATTGTGTGGCAGATCAAGGATGTATTGTATAAAATGTGATAGATACGCTAGGTGGCAGATCAAGGATGTGTTGTCTGACCTGACACACTCGGTGACAGATCAAAGATGAGTTGTCTGACCTGACACACTGGGTGACAGATGAAGGGTTTTTTGTCTGACCTGACACACCATGTAACAGATCAGTGATGTATTGTTTGACCTGACACACTGGGTGACAGATCGAGGATGTGTTGTCTCACATGACACACTAGGTTAAAGATCAAGGGTGTATTGTTTGACCTGACACACTGGGTTACAGACCAAAGATCTCTTGTGTGACATGCACTGAGTGGCAGATCAAGAATCTGTTGTTTGACATGAGACAGATACACTGGGTGGTAGATTAAGTTTATATTATCTGACATGACACAGATACGCTAGATGGCAGATCAAGGATGTATTGTCTTACATGTGACAGATGCGCTGGGCGGTGGATCAAGTGTATAGTATCTGACATGAGACAGGTACACTGAGTGGAGTGGCAGATCAGGGATATATTTTCTGACATTTGACAGATACGCTGGGTGGTAAGTCATGAATATATTGTCTGACATGTGGCAGATCAATGATATATTGTCTGACGTGTGACAGACACACTGGGTGGCAGATCAAGGATGTATTGAATGATTTATGTACACTATCGTCTGGAAAGACGGAAAGGTGCCATGTATGATATGTGACAGACACACCTAAACACTAAATTTACCTCTAAATCTGTAAATAATAATAAACTAGATGTACGTCTACATCTATAAATAATAATAAACTCGATGTACCCTCTAAATTGGTGAATAAAAAAACTAGATGTACCCTCTAAATCAGTAAATTATAAACACTAGATATAGCCACTAAATCTGTTTAAAAAAAAATTAAACTAGATAAACCTATAAATTGGTAAGTATTAAACACTAAATATACACTTTAACATACAAAACGAAATATAGAAATATAAGACCAACATGTGCAACAAAGGTAGGATTCTCTAACTGGAGAATGAATGGAAGAAAACTGACAAGGGCTTGCCTGTACAGTCAGCCGAAATAGAGGGACTCTGAAATCTCGGGAGGACAGCTAACAAGCGTGTAAAATTCACTGCATAGATTGTTTCATGTAACAGCATTGCAGCCTTGTATGCTTGTATGTTTATTTCGCGCATACTTAGCTAACATAAGTCTGCCGAGCCTACGGTTCTGTCCGTACAGACTTTATTTACCTTGCTATTGATGTGTTCTATATGATAGGAGGGAAATCAGGAAGGGAAGAGAAATCAAGGAGAAAACTATTGCAGAACTTGTGAATTTGATCACAGAAGACACAAACAATAGATAAATGAATCCTAACTGAAACATAAAATAGACTGTTTCACCATGCTTTATAGAGGTTTCTTCCATGAATCTCAATAATCTGCAGTTGGCTCATATGAAAATAATTCAAAATACATTATCCATGTTTACAATGTGCCCAAACTTCAAAATGTCGCGCTCGCTGCCAGAGGATTCAATGTCATGCCTTTTCATACTCACACGAATTCTGTTTGGTTTACTGGATCTGCTAAACTGACATTAGACAATTTTGTTCTGGAATGCAAAATCTTGTTATCAGCTTATTGTCTTTTCTTGCAAATCAAGAAGAGATAAAACCGAACAAAAAGTATATTAGCATGCTTCACAATATAAAAAATACAAACAAAACGTGAACGTTGCGGTCGGTTATGGAGCCTTTAGTAGCACATGTATAAACAACATCTCACAAATACACAGAATCACTTGGACGTCTCAGCAGACTGTGGAGACACGTGAAAGTGCCAGTTGCCATAACTTAGATGGGGGGAGGTCGAGATAAAACTGCTTCTTCATGTTCACCGGCTGTAAACTTCGGCATAAAATTCTCGCTGTTCGTCCACTTCTGGACTGCAGTCCTGTTCCAGAACCGGAGTGTTGCGTGTGTATCAGGTTGTCAGATCTGACTAATTTTTATGCAGACTGTTGGTTCCTTGCCTCTCAGGCAGATGCACTCCGACTTCAAAGAAAGCTCCCAGTTAGTCGACTCTTACGACATGCTTTTGGGTAGGCAGTGGGTCCATTCTTGTTTTCCCTAAAATAGGGCCCCAGGACCCACACAGGGAGAGATAAAATTGGACATTTTAATCCTCTACGAGTTTAAATGAAACTGGTGAGTTCTGGGAGTTCTGACGATATGAATGCGTCATCGTCACTACCCACAGCAACGTCCACACATTGTAATCTGTTGGCATCACCACCCACATCATTATCATCGTCCATCAAACCCACGTCATCATCCCAACATTATTATCCATCTATCACCACCTACACAATCGCCCCCACATTGCAATCCATCATAATTTCAGACGAAACAAAGAGGATGCGTACAACAGAGTATCATTTGAATACTTGGTGCACATACACATCCAACTGCAAGGATCTTTCCATCATCACCCGCTGGGTAGCCGCAGCACTGTTTCAGAGACGGGTGATTCTCGGGTGTGGTTGTTGGTCCTCAGAACCGATAACCAGCAGCCCAGGATTGCCTCAAGGTTCTTCGCTGTCTCCAGTGCTTTCAACGTGTACACATTGCTAATAACTGAGCAACAGTTGCACGGGAGTGGCAGGACCTTGTCATTTGCTGAACTTTTAGTATATCGTCATGGAAGAGATCGTCAAGAGATTGCCAAGTCAATGCATAGTGAACTTGATCGGATCTCCTCCTGGTGTGCAGATACTAATGCTCATGTCAATCCTTCGAAGGCCTCACTAACGTGATTCTCCTTGAACAAGCATATAGTGAAGGCAGACTTACCAGCAGTGGAAAGCAGCGAGGAAATTTTGAAGATAAAAAACCTGATGACATACCTTGGAGTGAGGTTTGATCGCAGCCTATACTTCAAAGAACATGTTGATCATGTCATAACAAAAGCACGCAAAGGCCTGCCACTGAGCAGAGGCTTCTTCTGCTTCTGTTCCAGGGACTTGTACTTTCTCCCATCGAATATGCTTTTGCCATCCTCACTGTCAGCCATTCTCAGATTGAAAGACTCGAGAAGGTGCAAAAATTAAGCAATACGCATTATTAAGGGTGCACTGGAGACACCTCTTGTGAAGCAATGAGGTACCTTCTTGACTTCCCTACCATGAACTACAGGATCAAGATCTGGAGAGCTCCTGCATACCTCAAGATAAGCTCAGATCTGAAGCGCCTTTGCACCACATGCTCTTCAAGACAAAAAGCAATAGGTTTAAAAGGGGCAATTCATGGCTGGGTAGGGCAGAGGATGACATCATGCAGGTTTGCAGCTTTACAGACATCCATCCAGGTGAGGAGTGGATACCAGCGTCTAAAGCACTCAATCTTACATTCTCCTGTGTCATGACGCTCAATAGGAATTGTCGGGAGCAGAATCCAGCTGCTGTCAATGCCGAGGTATGCGCGCTTATCAGTGACAAGTCAGATGAGACAGATGTGGTGGTCTTCACAGACCGGTCCGCTATACGAGGACATAAGAGTGCATAGGCATTTTCAACTCGCTCTTCAGGCAGAACAGTTAAGGAAGCCAGCGGTGCCTTCTCCATGACCCCCAGCAGCATGACGATGGAGGTGATGGCAGTGACACAGGCTTTCATGTGGCTGGGATCACATGACTATTCCCACGTGTGTGTGCTGAGTGTGATTCTTTGAGCATGATCCGGCGGGTCGAGGCAGGCTGGTTACGCAGACAGTGGCTTGAGTCGTTGCAAAATTCTCCTGTGTGTGCAGTTACTTTAATATACGTCACAGCGCATGCAGGCGTTGTTGGTAATGAGAGAGCTGATAGACTGGCAGGTGCTGCATTAATTGAAGATGGCCACCTCATGGATCACACAGACATTGTCATTGCCCTTAGAGAGATAGGACGTTCTGAGGATTTTGGAAGCAACGTGTCCATATCACTGCTAAGAATACGCGAATTTGGAGTAAAAATCAGCACAGCCAAGCATAAGAAGCACACTGGACGCACACGAAGTCTTGTTAACCAACATAGGACTGGTACTATTAACCGCACGACCCTGATTAATATGTTGAGAGGGGAATCTGAGCGCCTTTGGATGTGTCTAGAGTGCTGTAAAGATAATCTAACTCATAACTTACCACTCACATCATCGTTACCACATTATCATCACCACGACTCACATCATCATCCCATCATCCATCACCACTCACACCATCATTCATCAGGGAGACGAATAGCGTCTTTGCTGTTTCAACTAGTAGCCTTACAATGGAAACTATGGCTGTAACAAGGCTTGGTACTCAAAAGTTCACACGCGTATGCATTCTTAGTGAATCGATGAATATGCTTAAAAAAATCCAAGCTGGATTTATGAGGCAAGAATGGATTGCAACACTAAGCACTTCACGAATATCTACCCTAACCTTCATCTTTGTGCCAGGTAATGCGGTTGTTCAAGGGAACGAGCGTGCAGACTATCTTGCTGACCCTTCAGATACTCTAGCGGCCCAGTACTGGACAGAAGTGATGTTATCAATGCCATGCGCTGCACTCACAGTACCGAGGAGCACACCACAGGACATGACTCTATATTCCTGTATAGAAACCTGGAGCTGCAAGAAGTGAATATTTCACTAAGGGGGCAAGACGTTTCATTAACTAACACAGAACATGCGTCATCAGTCGTTTTACACTTGTAGAGCTTTTGAGGAGGAGATCGGAGCACCTATGGATCTGTTCGGAGTGCTGCGATAGTAATCCTTTCTAATCACTAATCGCCATCTTTCTCAAATCATCATCACCACCACCACCCACATGATCGTTGTCACATTATTACCACCCATTCATCATCACAACCCTCATTGTCCTTTCTACAGCACAATCATCATCCATCATCACCACCCACATCATTGTCCATCATCATGCTGCTAGCTAACCGCGACACCACAACATGTTTGAAAGAATCTCAACACTCCAACAGCTTCACCGAGCAGTATAACAGGGAACTGTTTATTTTATATAGGAATACGAAATGCAATTAAGACTGAATAACAAACGACATAAAGACAGACGGCTGGGCAGTGTCCTATATCGCAATAATCAACCAAGCGACTGTGGAGAGATCCAGTCAATGAATAAACCCATCATTTGGCCGAGAGTGGCGAGGAATTCTGGCCGGCCGCTGCAAAAGTCATGGACGTTGCGTGTCTGCGAACTGCCATCCTCTAGATTCGTTCTCGGCTCTTCTAACACAACCGTACACATTATCGTGTTCGGGGCACTTCGTCTGTTGATTTCAGCTTGCTTGATGAGAATAGTCTGATGAGTTTGAAGTAATGATGAAACCTATCTGGTGAAACTAAACAAACTGTAGCAAGAGGTCAGAAGACGCCGCCAAGAATGAAGCGGCTCCCGCACGACGGTGCACTTCATCAGCATGAACACGGGTTTATCGGATGTTTATATTCTCATTCATTCTGTCACCAGTTATCAAGCCAGTAATAATTTTAAAGTAGACAATGAGGTTGTCGGTGTACAGACGGTTGGTGGTGGTCGTGGTTTGTGTGGTACTTGTGGGTTCAGCCAAACTTGAGAACGATGATATCATTACCCCGTGTGGAGTCTGCACCTGTAACATGAGACAGGTCAGTGCAGACTGTTCCGATAGACAGTTGTACAACATACCCACAGATCTGCCAGCAAATATAACAAACCTCAACTTGGCCAGAAACCGAATTCAACCAGCAGGCGACGATCAAGCCAGGCTTTGCCAGCAGTACCCAGATCTGAAGGTTGTATCACTTGCATGGAATGGAATCAGGACCCTGTCCACTTTACTGCACGGTAATTTAATGTCCAGTTTACTGCACGGTAATTTATTGTCCAGTTTACTGCACGGTAATTTATCGTCCAGTTTACTGCACGGTAATTTATTGTCCAGTTTACTGCACGGTAATTTAATGTCCAGTTTACTGCACGGTAATTTAATGTCCAGTATACTGCACGGTAATGTCCAGTTTACTGCATGGTAATGTATGCCAAGTTTACTGCACAGTAACATACTGTCTAGTTTACTGCACGGTAATATTCAGTTAACTGGAGGTAACGTATTGTCCAGTTTACTGTACAGTAATGTCCAGTTTACTGGACGGTAATGTATTGCCCAATTTACTGCATGGTGAGGTATTGTCCAGTTAACTGCACGTTATCATATCGCTTTATGATGGTGAACGTTAGGACAGAGTAGCATAACTCGTGAGCCTGTGGTGTGTGATTATTTCTCTGATGTAGCCAGTTGACCGGAGTGTCTGATGACATAGTGCACATTTCAATGAGGCAGGTGCACGTTGAGGCGCAACTTCGTTGCTTGTATGCCTGTCGCGAGCAGGAGTTGATTGGCAAACCTGCAGATAACCAAAAGCAAAATAAACCAAGTCATAACACAGGGAAAGGCTCTCTCTACAGCCATTTGTATTATCTACATGCGTTGTCTCGGTTAAAACGATCTTACTGCACCCATATATCCCATCTCTCCCCCTTCCACCCCCAGTGCACACAAAATATGAGCTTCCGCTTTCTGCAACTTCCTCCAATTAATTTGCTCGTGAGTCTCAGGGGTATTAAAGACAGAGAAGGGAAAGTCTCCAGGGGTATTACAAGAATAAACAGAGAAGGGAAACTCGCCCGGGCTATTACAGAAATGAACAGAGAAGGGAAACTCGCCCGGGGTATTACAAAAATAAACAATTCGCCCAGGGTATTACAAAAATAAACAGAGAAAGGAAACTTGCCAGGAGTATTAAAAAATAAACAGAGAAGGGAAACTCGCCAGGGGTATTAAACAAACAGAGAAGGGAAACTCGTCAGGGGTATTAAACAAATAAACAGAGACGGGAAACTCGCCAGGGGTATTAAACAAATAAACAGAGACGGGAAACTCGCCAGGGGTATTAAACAAACAGAGAAGGGAAACTCGCCAGGGGTATTAAACAAACAGAGAAGGGAAACTCGCCAGGGGTATTAAACAAACAGAGAAGGGAAACTCGCCAGGGGTATTAAACAAACAGAGAAGGGAAACTCGCCAGGGGTATTAAACAAACAGAGAAGGGAAACTTGCCAGGGGTATTAAACAAACAAACAGAGAAGGGAAACTCGCCAGGGGTATTAAACAAATAAACAGAGACGGGAAACTCGCCAGGGGTATTAAACAAACAGAGAAGGGAAACTCGCCAGGGGTATTAAACAAACAGAGAAGGGAAACTCGCCAGGGGTATTAAACAAACAGAGAAGGGAAACTCGCCAGGGGTATTAAACAAACAAACAGAGAAGGGAAACTCGCCAGGGGTATTTACAAAAATTAACAGAGAAGGGAAACTTGCCAGGGGTATTAAATATTAAACAGAGAAGGAAAACTCGCCAGGGGTATTAAAAAATAAACAAATGAAACTCGCCAGGAGTGATTAAAAAATTAACAGAGATGAGATAGTGCCTGGAAGGAAAAGGGGTGGAAAGGGGTGTGGTGTTAACAGCTAGATGGCTGGGACTCACGAGCAGCAGCTACTGCATCTCCTGCAACTTCCTCCAATTAATTTGCTCGTGTCTCCAGGAGTATAAAAAAAAAAGACAGAGAAGGGAAAGTCTCCTATGGTATTACAAAAATAAACAGAGAAGGGAAACTCGCCCGGGTTATTACAAAAATAAACAGAGAAAGGGAACTTGCCTGGGGTTTTACAAAAATAAACAGAGAAGGGAAATTCGCCAGGGGTATTAAACAAACAGAGAAGGGAAACTCGCCTGGGGTTTTACAAAAATAAACAGAGAAAGGGAACTCGCCTGGGGTATTACAAAAATAAACAGAGAAAGGGAACTCGCCTGGGGTATTACAAAAATAAACAGAAAAAGGGAACTCGCCTGGGGTATTACAAAAATAAACAGAGAAGGGAAACTCGCCAGGGGTATTAAACAAACAGAGAAGGGAAACTCGCCAGGGGTATTAAACAAATAAACAGAGAAGGGAAACTCGCCAGGGGTATTAAACAAATAAACAGTGAAGGGAAACTCACCAGGGGTATTAAAACAAAATAAACAGAGAAGGGAAACTCGCCAGGGGTATTAAAAAATAAACAAATGAAACTCGCCAGGAGTGATTAAAAAATAAACAGAGATGAGATAGTGCCTGGAGGGAAAAGGGGGTGGAAAAAAGCTAAACTGGTGAAACTTGGCTGGGGCATTACCTCATATACAGATGTGAAACTTAAAGGGGAGGGGGTTGAAATTACTAAATATAAAGTTGGGAAACTAGGTTGGGGTAATTACCAAATAAACAGAATAGAAGTTTGGATTAACAAATAAATATTTTGTTGTGTGTGTGTGTGTGGGGGGGGGGGTGGGGGTGTGGGGGGGGGGGGGGGGGGGGGGGGGGGGGGGGGAGGAGGTTAACGAACGGACGATAACAAATAAAGATGAGAGAAAAACGGGGGGGGGGGGAAGTTAGCAAATAAACACATGCGAAACATGAAAAGGGGGGGGGGAAGGTAGGAATAGGCAAATAAATAGATTAGAAACATAGGAGGTCGGAGGGGGCAGGAATTAACAAATAAATAGTCGATAAACATGGGGGGGGGGGGGCAGAATTAACAAATAAACACACGAGAAACATGGATTGGAAAGGGGGGGGGGCATTAACAAATAACATATAAGAAACATGGATTGTGGTTGGGGAGGAGATAAACACATGAGAAACATGGAAAGGGGGGGGGGGGGGGGGGGGGTTACAAAATAAACACATGAAAAACCAGTTTAGGGTAATTAATAAACAGATGAAAAAGCTCGGCTTGAGTAATTAACAAATAAGCACATGACAAACCAGGGTAGGGTAATTAATAACCAGACGAAAAAGCTTGGCTTGGGTAATTAACAAATAAACACACAAGAAACCAGGGTAGGGTAATTAATTAACAGATGAGAAAGCTCGGCTTGAGTAATTAACAAATAAGCACATGACAAACCAGGGTAGGGTAATTAATAACCAGACGAGAAAGCTTGGCTTGGGTAATTAACAAATAAACACACAAGAAACCAGGGTAGGGTAATTAATAAACAGACGAGAAAGCTTGGCTGGAGTAATTAACAAATAAACACATGAGAAACCAGGGTAGGGTAATTATTAAACAGACGAGACAGCTTGGCTGGAGTAATTAATGAGAAACCAGGCTAGGGTAATTAATAGGTTAGTTGCGTATCCTTTACAGGACGTTGCAGAACCAACCCCAACAGCTCTGGCTGTTGTGAGGTTTTTTTAGGCAAATTTACGTCCAGTAGATCGCCACTGGCCTCTGGACGGTCGGCTTTCTTGATACCACGGTCGAAACCAACGCAAGGCGCATGGCCCCTAGCTGAGAGGGTAATTAATAAACAGATAAAAAAGCGTGGCTGAGGTAATTAACAAATAAACACATAAGAAACCAGAGTAGGGAATTTTAAAACAGATGAGAAAACTTAGCTGGGGTAATTAACAAGTAAACGCATGTGAAACCAGGGTGGGGTAATTAATAAACACATGAGAAAGCTTGGCTGAGGTAATTAACAAATTAACAAATAAACAAGTAAATATGGTATTTATAAGAGTGAAAATATAGCAGGGATTGGAACCATGGCCAAGCCTCTGTGTACTGACAAGCATGTATATGTTGCCAGGATGTCATCTTGTGGAAGAGCTGGATCTGACAGGTAACGTCCTGGAGATGGTCCAGCCCACAGAGTTGGCAGACATGTCCAGTCTGCAGGCTGTCACGGCGCTGGAGGTGCAGGAATTTGATGCCAGCGTCTTCCGCAAACTGAAGCGACTGGAAACTCTTCACCTGACATTTCACGGTCTCACAGTGCAGCCTGGACTCTTTAGTGAACTGTCTTCTTTGAGAGCACTTACCTTGACCCTGGAGAAGGCATTGAGACTTCCGCAGCAAATGTTTGTGTTCACAGAGGGCAGTGTTTTGAAACAGCTGACTTTAAAAGGGTCGAAAGTATGTCTGTTTGTAGACTCGTTGTTGCTCTTAATGCTGTGGCGACTGTACTGTCTCTGTGTGGTTGCTGATGGCACAATTCTTCTGTTGCCGCTTTTTATGTCATTATTTATTTAAATTTCGAATGTAGCTTTAAATGTATTGTAAATATGCACACATTTAATTCGCTCCCCTTTCTTTTCTTCTGCTTCTTCTGTAGAGTTCCAACTTTGTAACCGGATCGTGAACATGACTGTTGCTAACAACAATGGTGGCTATTGAAGTAGTGATGTGGAAGTTGTTGTTGTCATAGAGTAGGGTGTGTGTGTGTGTTGCATTATACTGTCCTGTTTGTGTCATTTTTCATTATTGGTGACAGGATGCCTTGCTTGGCTTGTCATGTTAGTATCACAATGTCAAATTGTCATGTCAGCATCAGATTCACATCACCATTAGTGTCATATTCTCATGACACCGTCAGTGTCATATTCTCAAATCACTATTAGTGTCATGTCACTACCATAATGTCATATTCTCATGATACCGTCAGTGTCATATTCTCAAATCAGTATTAGTGTCATGTCACTACCACAGTGTCAGATTATCATGGCAGTGAAAGAGTGCCAGATTATCAAGTCAGTGTAAGAGTGCCAGATTTTCATGTCAGTGTAAGAGTGCCAGATTATCACGTCAGTTTAAGAGTGTCAAATTAAATGTCATTGTAAGAGTGCCAGATTATCACGTCAGCGTAAGAGTGTCAAATTATCATGTCAGTGTAAAAGTCTCAAATTATCATGTCAGTGTAAGAGTGCTAGATCATCATGTCAGTGTAAGAGTGTCAAGTTATCATGTCAGTGTAAGAGTGCTAGATCTTCATGTCAGTGTAAGAGTGTCAAATTATCATGTCAGTGTAAGAGTGCTAGATCTTCATGTCAGTGTAAGAGTGTCAAATTATCATGTCAGTGTAAAAGTGTCAAATTATCATGTCATTGTAAGAGTGCCAGATTATCACGTTAGTGTAAGAGTGTCATATTATCATGTCAGTGTAAAAGTGTCAAATTATCATGTCAGTGTAAGAGTGCTAGATCTTCACGTCAGCGTAAGAGTGTCAAATTATCATGTCAGTGTAAAAGTGTCAAATTATCATGTCAGTGTAAGAGTGCTAGATCATCATGTCAGTGTAAGAGTGTCAAATTATCATGTCAGTGTAAGAGTGCTAGATCATCATGTCAGTGTAAGAGTGTCAAATTATCATGTCAGTGTAAGAGTGCTAGATCTTCATGTCAGTGTAAGAGTGCCAAATTATCATGTCAGTGTAAGAGTGCTAGATCTTCATGTCAGTGTAAGAGTGTCAAATTATCATGTCAGTGTAAGAGTGTCAAATTATCATGTCAGTGTAAGAGTGCTAGATCATCATGTCAGTGTAAGTGTGTCAAATTATCATGTCAGTGTAAGAGTGTCAAATTATCATGTCATTGTAAGAGTGTCAGATCATCATGTCAGTGTAAGAGTGCCAAATTATCAGGTCAGTGTAAGAGTGTCAAATTATCATGTCAGTGTAAGAGTGTCAAATTATCATGTCAGTGTAAGAGTGTCAAATTATCATGTCATTGTAAGAGTGTCAGATCATCATGTCAGTGTAAGAGTGCCAAATTATCAGGTCAGTGTAAGAGTGTCAAATTATCATGTCAGTGTAAGAGTGCTAGATCATCATGTCAGTGTAAGGGTGTCATATTATAATGACAGTGTAAGAATGTCAGATTGTAATGATAATGTAAGAGTGTCAGAATGTAATGACAGCGTAAGTGTCAGATTGTCATTTCAGTGTAAGATTGCAGATTCTCATGTCATTGCAAGATTTTCATGTCAGTGTCAGATTGTCATGTCAGTGTAAGAGTGTCAGATTTTCACGCCAGGGTAAGAACGCCAGATTGTAATGTCTGTATAAGAGTATGAGATTGTAATTTGAGTGTAAGAGTGTCAGATTGTCATGTCAGTATCAGAATGTCATGTCAACTAACATATGGCATTTGTATTTGGCCTGGCCAGGTGAAGGAGATCCCAGACGACCTGTTCAGTGAGCTGGTCAGTTTGAAGGAGCTGCACCTCGACCTGCCTCACCTGTTGCAGCTGAAGATGAACACCAATGACAGACACCAGTACCTGCAGGTCAGTGTATACAGGCAGCCTGTGTGTGTGAGAGCGTGAAAGGGAGAGATAGAAAGACCAGTGGTCGCCCATGTGTGTTTATGAGCCTGAAAAAAAAATAGAGAGAGACCATTGGTCGCCACTGTGTGTGTGTGAGCATGAAAGGAAGAGAGAGAGAGAGAGAGAGAGAGAGAGAGAGAGAGAGAGACCAATGGTCTCTCCTGAATGAGAGCATGACAGGGAGAGAGAGAAAGAGAGACCAATGGTCTCCCCTGTGTGTGTGTGAGCATGAAAAGAAGAAAGAGAGAGAGAGAGAGAGAGAGAGAGAGAGAGAGAAAGAGACCAATGGTCCACCCTTCTGTATGTGTACATGAAAGGAAAAGAGAGACCAATGGTTTCCCCCCTCCTGTATGTGTACATGAAAGGAAAAGAGAGACCAATGGTTCCCTCCTCCTGTATGTGTACATGAAAGGAAAAGAGAGACCAATGGTTCCCCCCTCCTGTATGTGTACATGAAAGGAAAAGAGAGACCAATGGTTCCCCCCTCCTGTATGTGTACATGAAAGGAAAAGAGAGACCAATGGTTCCCCCCTCCTGTATGGGTACATGAAAGGAAAAGAGAGACCAATGGTTCCCCCTCCTGTATGTGTACATGAAAGGAAAAGAGAGACCAATGGTTCCCCCCTCCTGTATGTGTACATGAAAGGAAAAGAGAGACCAATGGTTCCCCCCTCCTGTATGTGTACATTAAAGGAAAAGAGAGACCTATGGTCTCTCCTGTATGAGAGCATGACAGGGAGAGAGAGAAAGAGAGACCAGTGGTCCTCCTGTGTGTGTGTGTGAGCATAAAAGGAAAAGAGTAGAGACCAATTGTTCCTCCCTCCTGTACGTGTGCTTATGAAAGGGGAAGAGAGAGAGAGAGAGAGAGAGAGAGAGAGAGAGAGAGAGAGAGAGAGAGAGAGAGAGAGAGAAACAGATGGTGCCCCTGTGTGTTTGTGTGTGTGTGCATGAAAGGGGGAGAGAGATAGAGAGACCAATGGTCTCCCCTGTGTGTGTGAGCATGAAAGGGATAGAGAAACTCATTGTTCCCCGTCCTGTATGAGCATGAAAGGGGGGGGAGGGAGGGGGGGGGGAGAGAGGAAAGAGAGAGAAAGAGAGAGAGAGAGAGAGACAGACCAGTGGTCCCCCTGTGTGTGTGTGTGAGCATAAAAGGGAGAGACAGAGAGACCAATAGTCCCCCGTGTGAGTGACCAGCTGCAACCCCTCCCCCCAGTGTGATCATCTGTTGTGAGGTACTCATTCTATCTATCTATTGTCTTATTAACTTTTACCCGGTTGCAGCCCAGTGTCGTGGTTTAAAATATTTGTTTTGTGCCTCTCGCGTGATTTGAGTGACAGTTTTCTGGATCTTCTGGCCGTATTCAGCTACTCCATCTATCCATTTTTTCCCTGGGTCTTCCTCTGGCCTTTATTCCCGATGTTCTATTGTAAAAGGCCTTATAGGCAATCAGATCCGGTTGCATTCTTACTAAATGATCAAACCACTTCATTCTCTGTCTTTCAATATGTTCCATGCATGCTCTTGTTCCAACTTTGTCTCTAATGCTGACGTTTGTGACTGTCTCTTCGTGTATTGTTGGTGACTCTTCGGAGACATCGCATTTCACACGTAGTTATTTTTTGCATATGTGATTTGTTCATTGTCCACGTTTGGCACTGATAACATAACGTAGGGATGAAAATGCTGTTGATCATCCGTTGTTTGGTTGGTAACGAGATCTTTGGATGACGAAGAAGTGGGGCCAGTTGGTAGTTTGCTGCATTGGCTTTTTGAACTCTAGCCTGTATCTCTTTATCGACTGTATCTCTTTATTGGCACTGATAACATAAGGTAGGGATGAAAATGCTGTTGATCATCCGTTGTTTGGCTGGTAACGAGATCTTTGGATGACGAAGAAGTGGGGCCAGTTGGTAGTTGGCTGCATTGGCTTTTTGAACTCTAGCCTGTATCTCTTTATCGAGTCTTCCATCTTCTATAAATATGCATTCTAAGTACTTGAATTCTTGAACTTGTTCTAATTGTATGTCATTGATCTTTATGTTTACATTACTGTGTTTCTTTCCTATGGTCATTACTTCAGTTTTTGAGGTGTTTATTTTCATGTCAAATTTTGTACAGTTAGTGAGCAATGAATCAACATGTTGTTGTAGTTTTTGTTCTTCTTCTTGTAACAAACATTGGTCATCTGCAAAGAGAAGTTCATTTATAATATCTGTGTTTTGGTTTGACTCCTGTGCAATTTATCCATATATGTGATGAAGAGTAGGGGTGATAGGACACATCCTTGTCGTACTCCTGATGTAATGGGGAACCAGTCTGTCATACCTTCCGTTGTTCTTACAGCGCTCTGGCTATTTTGATAGAGAGCCATTATGTTTCCCAATAATTGACCCGGTACACCATATTCTTCAAGAATGTTCCATAGTTTATTTCTGTTAACCCTGTCAAAAGCCTTCTCTTGATCAATGAATATAAGATTCTGGTGTTTATTATATTCGATTGTCTGTTCACAAATTTGCCTAAGAGTAAATATTGCATCAGTGCAGCTCTTACCTTTTCTAAATCCAAACTGGTTGTTACTTAATTGAGGTTCTAATATCACCCTCGCTCTTCGTTCTAATATTTTTGCAAACATCTTTCCTACATGGCTTTGTAAAGAGATACCTCTGTATGTTTCACAATCTCGTTTTTCACCTTTCTTCTTCCATATGGGAACTATAATTGCTCTCTGCCAGTCAACGGGAACTTTCATTTCCTCCCAGGCAATATTGAATATTCTTGTCAGCCATTTTACTGCTGTTGCCTTACATGCAAGTATTATGTCTGTTGTAATACCATCTGTTCCGGCCGCTTTGTTTCTTTTGCTTTGCTCTAGGATCTTTTCAACTTCAGATTCTAATATATTAGGTTCTTGTTCTTGGCCAAATTTTTTTTTAATTAGACACTGGTTCTTGTGGTCCACTATTCAGTAATTCAGAAAAATATTCTTGCCATCTTCTTTTAACATCTTGGGATTTGGTGAGTGGTTTTTTAGCCTTGCTGTTTATGATCTTTGATGGGTTAAATTTCTCTTCTGTCAGTCTCATAGCCTTGATGCTTCGGTAGAACTGACCTGGTGAATCAGTGCATAGCCTTGCTAATTGTTCTCCGTAGTTTGCCCATTATTCTGATTTCGCCGAATTTACTGTCCTCTTGCTCTTTGCTCTTGCTTTTCTATATTTGATGTAGTCCTCATCTAATTTGGACTTTTGCCACTGATGAAAATATTTCTTCTTTTCTTTGATAGAAATTTTAACTTCTTCATTCCACCATGCTGTTTGTTTCATGTGTCTTCTTGGCTTTCGGAGTCCGCACTTTTCTGTCATTACATTCAGGATGCAGGTTTTAAAAATTTGCCACTCTTCTTCTATGTCATTTCCTCTCTCTAGAGTACTGAAGGTGTTTTTAACTGTTTCCTCAACTTGAATTGCCACATCTTTGTCTTTTAGTTTCTCTATGGCTATCTGATCCATTAGCTGTGGTGTTTTATCAGAACAAATTCTTGTTGGTTTATAGAGCCAAAGTACTACAGGTCTATGGTCAGAGTCTATTTTTGCATTTGGGATGGCCCTGGAGTTCTTTATTCTCCATCTATCGCTCTTTTTTGTGAGAATAAAATCTATCTGTGATGCTTGGTTAATATTATTCCATTTATACCAGGTCAGTATCTTGCTTCTCTTATGTTGGTATAGCGTGTTGCTGAAAATTAGTTCATGCTCTGCACACACATTGAGTAATTGTTCTCCGTTGTTGTTACATTTATTTTCTTTGTCACTAAATGGTCCCATATATGTGGACCATGGAGGTCGACGTTCTCCCACATATCCGTTGAAATCTCCCATCACATACAAGCCATCAGTGTCTGTAACTTTACTGATGGTTTCACTAAGTTGGTCAATCAATTCTGTTCTTTCTTCTTCAGTGTAAGTGTCGTTACAAGGAGCATATACTTGAATATACGATACTCTTCTTTTACCTGCAGCCAGTCTGATACATATGATTCTCTCTGACACGAATTCTGAATCTAGTAAATATTTTGCTGTTTCTGGAGCAATGATAAACCCACTCCATGTTTATTAGTTTCTTGTGGTTGAGTCCCTTTCCAAATCAGAACAACGTTCTTATGAATTTTCCGGACGCCTTGAGCTTTTCTTCTGATATCAGCCATTCCCAAAAACTTTGATTTTACTCTTAATCATAAATTCAACCAATTCAGCCACTTTATCCCCTATACCACAAATGTTCCATGTAGCCATCTTAAAAACTGTCGTGCCGGATCTGTCTCTTGGCCGGTGTTGCTTTCATGACTCTGTCCTGTGTGTGGCGGTTTGAAGCGCTGGTGTAATCGCGCTTTTTCTTCAAAATACACCATAAATCTTGAGCAATGGTGCTTGAACAAACAAATCCCCTACCGGTTTGCTAGGCCTGTCGTTGGATCATCCTTGTTTGATGTGAGGTACTCATTGACTCTAGCAAATTAGAAGATTGCTTAAGGTTGACGAACAAGCAAGATCATTGATGAGACCTCTGGGGTAGGGAGATCACTGACACAAACTGGGCGGTTCATGTTAGAGCCATAAATGGTGTAGGCGGTGGCAACACTTGTATACACGCACACCCACCCACACCTGTCTACACACACATGCACGCACTCACGGGTTTAGACACACATATATCATAATCTGTATATTATGTCACATGCTACTAGACACTTTATAAATATAAATATGTTTTCATTCATAAGGAGTGACGAAAAGAATACGAAGTGTTGGAAACACATTGATGAGGGTGTTTGTGTTCTGTTGCAGGTTCTGGAAGTATTTAATGTGAGGAGTGTGGCGGAGGATCTGTTGTCAGGCCTGCACTTTCTGCAGGTGGTCATCTTGCATGGCATTAGTCATCTGGCAGGAGCACGTTTGTT